TGTGTCATGCTTATAGTATTCACATATAAAATTTAAACAAAATCGCTCTACTACTTTTTGAGTTACAGTAAATTATGTGTACAAAATCGGGCCAACGGTATTTGAGTTATTGCCCAGACGGACGGACAGACGTACGGACGGACGGAGGCGTTCCCTATATCCCTCCGAACTTCGTTCGATGGGGTAAATATATCTTTCGGGCGCATGGGGACCGTTCGTTCCTACTAAACTAAGGTACTAGGATTTAGCCCAAAGTCTTTCGCACACACGTGAAGCAAAAGATTTTGTAGAGTATCAAATCAAAAGATATATAAATTTCAACCAGAAACCTTTTGCAAGGTTTTTTCAAGGTAGACTTGACATAATCAGCACAAAAGTGAAAGTTACCCGCAAATGGTATTGCATAGAGTAAGTAATTTTTTGGGTATAATGCAACTTATATCAAAAAATGATTTGTGAATTTTTCTTAGGGTTTTTATGAAAACAGCATGCTCCGTCACAGCGTTCAAATCTCTCTCTGTGAAAAAATCGTGAATTTATATTATAGTAAATTTTAGAGACTAGAACGTAGACATAGAATCGTATTTTGCTCAAGAACAGTCTTGGGTAAAGAATTCCTCTACAAGTTTCTTCCTTCTTGGGAGCTATACATTCTGGATCTTGAAAAATTCACATCTTTAGGTCCCAGGCAATTTCTCTTTTCAATTCATGGTAAGTGTGGCCGATATCCGAATAATTACATGTTACAGGTACTCATCCGAAAATACTACAATATATATTTTTAGTTTGAATGTATCAAATTACCTGACATGTTGACAGTTTCCCGATTGTTTGTTAGACCTGTCACTCCCACCTGCAACAGTTTGACACTGGGAAGGGTAACTGTTAAATTTTGTTTGTAATCAATTTTACTGATAATCTATGTGTCTCAATTTGTTAAACAAACAATTGTCTACGTGTGACATGATACGCATTTATTCAACGTCAAAGTCAAGATCCTGAAGTATAGTCATTATCCTTCAGGATTTTATAACGAAAATTCAAGGTATGCATCCATGTTGTGAAAACTGTAAGGTAGGTAATCTCCTACAAAGGTATGACTCTGGAAATGTCTGCCCTAGATCTTATCGCACGTACTGCATCCCTGATGATGATGTCTTACTGTCCCCTTAGATCCTTCGCTGCTGCAATAATTCTGGTCCATAGACCATCAACGTCTCTCGGTGATGTTGTGTAGACTCTATTACTGTGATAACCCCAAATAACCATCCTGGCATAGCCATTTTAATCCCTCATTGTTCAGTCATCCATGATAGAAAAAGTGGCATAAACCCATTTCTGGCGTGGTCGCTTAAATCCCTTAGAACTCGGTCATCTGTGAAGGAAAATAAACATATCAAGCTGATAGAGGACATCATAACATATCGGATGATAGCTGTGAGATTTTCCTATTATTATTCATCGTTGAGAAATTAGTAATTAAACCTCGGTTTCCTTTTTTGGGACACTCTGTATATTAACAGGGTAGTTGACAAGATAAATAAATTAACTTTTATCATGAAACTTTTCAGCGTGCAAAATTACAGAATTAAAAAATCCTATGTTCAGATAATACTGCCTCTAAATCTCCTACTCTCCTATTCTTTAACAAAGGGATCAAAATGTTTTCTAGCTTTGAGTAAAAATCGAAATCGGTGAAACCAACTTTTTTGTTTGATTATGAAACATAATTTATATGTCCTGGTCAGTTTAATATAAAAAATATATTTCATCGTACCACCCGTGTTAACCATAAACTTTGAATATTCCAAAAATACTACAACTTGTTTACTATACAGTGAAAAGTCAAGTTGACAAGATAAATATTAGTTTCGTTTTAAAATGATTTACAATAATTTAACAGCTTCCCCACTGGTACTATCTGTATGTCAATAAATATTATCGCATAATTCTTTATTCTCTAGTTGAGATCTGAACTATGTCAACAAAACATGCAAAAAGTCGGTTTAAAAAAATAAATATTTTTTTTACATTTACAAACAATGTTGTGTAACCTAAACCGCTCATGAAAGTTGCATTTTCTTTGAGTCATATTAAATACTTTTATGGATCAAACGTGCGAAGACTTGGCCCATAACCACAAACATCTAGACTAAAAAAGAGTAACTCCCCGTATTCTACACATCGAACAAATTTTCTTAATTACTTATCATTTTGAACATTTTATGATAGAAATAGTAGCCATGTTCCTCCTCTATGGGGTTCCTTCATGGGACTTTGCCTCATGCTCCCCTATCGTCATCGATACATACATGTATTTCCCTTGGGATAAAACCTGTATCCAAAACCTCCCAGTACATAATACTGTGGAGTCAGAATGAGAGTAGGCGTGCGTTAAGAGGGATTTCATTGGACATTAGTTTTCATGTTGCCAGTATGATTTACATATTTGTATCCAAATAGATCTTAGTTTGATATAGGCTAACTGAATTTATAATAAATATCACATCACATAGTTTAGTGGTTGCCATGAAAATGGATAAAACAATTCTAGACACAATAAAATACGAAGTTGAATTGTTCATCTGCAAAAGTACGATAGAATTACAAAAATACATTTGTAACTGACATCAATAGATTACTATATGAGCTGTTTCAAATAAGATATTCTCCAAAACTGCAGTGCTGCCCTCACTTATGAAGGTGTTGACAGTTCAACTCTTCCCATCTTTCAAGATCGGTCCTTCACTGCTTTCATAGGAGCTAATGTAATGCAATGAATTACGTTGGGTCAATGATGAACTCTTCAACCTAGTAATGTTTGCTCATTACAACATTTGAAGAGGATGAATGGCAAAACCTGTACAGTATGTGGAAGTGGAAACATTCCCTCCAGTCTCCCGGGCAGTTCACTGTATTTAAACCTTGAGGTTGATCCTCGGCTCAGATCTGATGGGGTACTTTTGACATTTGGTATGGCAATGGACCCAAATTATTGGATCTGATATGAGAATGCCCTCCAAATTATGACTTGAGGTATGGCAAATTGGCAATGATCGGATTTTTCCACCGTCGTGAAAAAATATGTTACCCTTCACTTGTAGTATGCTATTTATATCCTTAATGTGAGGTTGTTTTTGGTTTTTTCCTCATGGCAAATTGGCAATGATCGAATTTTTCCACTTATGAGAATGGTCGTGAAAAATATGTTACCCTTCACTTGTAGTATGCTATTTATATCCTTAATGTGAGGTTGTTTTTGGTTTTTTCCTCATGGCAAATTGGCAATGATCGAATTTTTCCACTTATGAGAATGGTCGTGAAAAATATGTTACCCTTCACTTGTAGTATGCTATTTATATCCTTAATGTGAGGTTGTTTTTGGTTTTTTCCTCAAAGATCTGTCTTCTCAGGGCATTAGACATTTTGAATGGCCATGTTTTTATCTCTGGTTATTTGGCATGGCATTGGTCCTATACATGGGCATTTGGTATGGCTTTTGGGCATTATTTTGGTTGGTATGGGACCACATTCAAATTTGGCATTTCTAGTATTAATGAGTCATAAGCATGTCAATCATATAAAATAGATAAAAAATCCAAAAATTAAGCATAAAATGATGAGCAATTTTGTCTGAAAAGATGTTATCTGTATCTGACTGTATTTAAAAGTTGTAGCATTTATCAATTGTGGAGGTCTGAATTTCAACAAAGTCCTGATTACTTTTGTAATCAATCAAATAACAACAACCAAAGTCTAAATCAATGCTTAATATCAATCATTGTCTAAAATCTGAAAAATGAGACATGTATCTCCCTTATTTCAAAAGTTATAGCATCCATCCAATGTGTGGGTCAGAATTTCCCTAAAACCCTGATGACCATGGCAACCAATCATATACCAGCTCCCAAAGTATAGTTAAATACTTAAAACCAACCATTTACGAAGATCTGAAAAAATGAGACTTGTATCTCCCTTATTTCTTAAGTTTTAGCATCCATCCAATGTGGCAGTTTGAGTCTGTGAAATAGACGCCCTGCTAATAGATTATAGAAGTTTTCTATTCACATTTTAACCCTTCCTAACATAATGGTAACAGAATATGCACAAAATCAACCTATCATTCCTGAAAAAATGGCCTGAAAATCAACACCTGAAGGGTATGTTTTATCCATTTCCATGGCAACCACTTCTCTATGTGAAATGAAATTTCTTTCATATATTCAGTTAGCCTATACAGTATATCTTAGTAATTTGGAAACATTTCACAGATTATTTTTTGAGTTCTAGCCCAATTTTACAGTAGGGGTCCAAATTAAAGACCATGGGGGGTAAAATGGTCACAAAATCTAAAAGCTGAAAAACTAAGATCTAATAATCCATGCAAATATGAAAGTTATAGTAGTAACATGAAAAATTTTGTCCCATAAAATCCCTCTGAATGCACGCCGAAACCCACATTCTGACTGCATTATAACCATGCCCATGATTAAAACCCTTTGTAACCCTTATTATGAATTCTCCATGGATGAGAGATTAAGCAATACAACGCATTATCAATATTCCTTTTACAATTTATTTGTGTATAGAAAGTGAAATCAGACTCATATATTTGCTGAAACTTAAGCATTGTCCATTTACTGTTTAATCACTGGTCCTAACCTAGTTACACTGACGATACATCAGCGTAACAGGATGGAACAACTTTCGGGCTTCGTTTTCGGTAAGATATTTTTGTTTCTCGATTTTACACCACTTATAAGTCAAGTTGTGGACAAAAATTTGGCTCAAATTTAAGGAAGATGGTCTAGTTTGAGAATATGCAGGCGGTTCTATATGTTTGGAATATTAACGAAGACGCAATTCATATATTTAGTCCCTCTCTTTTGTTCTTGTTCTTCCTTAGCTTTGAGCCAAATTATTGTCCACAACTTGACTTATAAGTGGTGTAAAATCGAGAAATAAAAATATCTTACCGAAACCGAAGCCCGGAAGTTCTTCCATCTTGTTACGCTGACGATACGTCAGCATAACTAGGCGAGTACCAGTGTTAATGACTATGAAGTTGCAATTGTGATTGTTGAACCTATTGATATGTTGAACCTATTGCCTTTGAATGCTACCAGGCTGCCGCAGTTCTCTCGAGTATTCTAGGATTTTTGTTGGTAAGAAATATTAGTTGGTTTCTGCCTTCCTCAGTGAGGGCTGAAAAAGAGTGAGTAAAGGCATGTACAAAAACAAGCTCTAGATATACAATTATCCAGCTGAAGAAATATACATGTGTACCCATTTTCGTACACATTTGTTCACTCCAAATGTAGTATACTTAACAGAAAATTCATTTTGAACGGCCTTATTTAAGATTGTGAAAAATGGAATACTGGAACAATGAATCTGAAAAAGTTTGTTAAAATACCTTTAGGGTTTTGTATCCATAATTTGTCTACATAGTAGTCTATACAGCTGTTCACTTCTTTATCATTGTAGTCATCTACGTGTATTGGAACAAATGGGTCCAACCATTCAAAGCCCTGTAAGTACATGAAATTTTTTTCCGATTTTAACATTTGCCAATCATAACATGAATTATGCAAAAACTTATTCCCAACATGTCACCCGTGCTTTCAATTTTAGTGTTCATACCAACACCCATTTTTGAAAATAAATAGGTCTACATGTATGTAAGGATATACCTCTTTCTTTAGTAGATATCTAGGCATGAATGAGGCTCTCTCTTCCTTCACTGAAGCCTTAGCATCAACTGTACCCACTACAGCTCCATTGCTCTAAAATGCACAATAATGGACATACGACGTATATTAGTTCCTCCTTACTGATAACTTGACGTTAGATTATGATTATGATGAGCATACATGTATAAGGGATACCAGATTATGGTAAGCATATCAGAAATACCAAACAGAGATATTATCTTCATATTGTTATCCAATGGGAAGTTCTGGTCATGAGGAAAATTAAAATTAGGAAAATGATAAAATTTGACCATTCGGGAAATTATCCACTTGGATTAAATACCACTTCTACAGTGATTAAATACCACTTCTACAGTGATTAAATACGACTTCTACAGTATATTTTGGAATAGTTATCAACTTACCCAGTCTGTTTGAAGTAGTTTTTTAAAGTTATGAATCAATGTTATTTTGTCAGGATCAGCCTGAAAATGAAACATGAATAAAAGCATGAATAAAAATATTTTTTGTCATTTTCGAGCTTTCCTGCCTGGTCAAGTCATCTTTGTACATAGTATTTATATTTTAAATTTACATTATTTTTAAAGAACTCCAAAAGCTTTTCCAATACACCTCACTTCACTTTCACTGGCGAGTCTGAAAACACAAGCCACTTGCCAATTGGCGAGTAATTGAAAAATCCTAAGGCCCACACTGTGAGACTGTTTACTTGTCTTTCTCATTGTAATTGCCTAAATAGATAATACCACAAGATATCCACTTGTTATCCCGTGCCAGGACTATAGTCCTGTGAACGTCTTATTCTTTTGCCTGTACGATTACAACATGGGAGAATTTTCTACGCTTCTTACACTTAAGATACCTATTTCAACAGATTCCTTGGTATTTTAGCATTCTTTTCGTGTAGTTGAATCCACAATATATTTTGCCATACCATCACAGGCAAATTACATCGGGCCCCGTACGAGCTCGTACGAGGCTCGAGAATTACTAGTCATTACGGGCAAAAAGGAGCACCATCCTCGTACGAAGCTCGTTTTCGAGGCCCGTGCAAGCTCGTACGATGCTTGTAATTGTTGTTTCCGAGGCCCGTACAAGCATGTACGAGGCTCGCAATTTCGAGGCCCGTACGAGCTCGTACGAGGCCCGTTATCGAACTCCGAACAAAAATTAAATTGCTGTCATGCTACATGCACGAATTTCGTATTTGGCCAGACCATGTTTATTTATTTTAGAATAATGTTTAATGTTTTAATTCACACATTCGATAACAATAACATTTATTTACATCACATTTCAACTCATCCTAATAAAGCACGCAAATGGTTTTATATGCATTTACTTAACTTGTAGAGAAATATGGTGTCTCCTATTGGTAACCCTCCTGTTTATTTTGTTTCCTAGCTTTTATACTGTTTATCATGTTGATACAGACATGCGAATATATTGAAATTATTGAAGACATATTAATTTATAATTTGGATATAATTGAATTGTCATTTTTCATATATGCTGTATTTTATTTCATCGATCAAAAAGAAAACATCAAAATAAACGAGCAATTACGAGCCTCGTTACGAGCCCCGTACGGGCAAGTACAGTGCTTGAAAATTACGAGCCCTTACGGTCCTTGTTACGGGCATTGCACGGGTAAGTACAAGGCTCGAAAATTATGAGCTATTACGGTCCTCGTAACAGGCACCGTACGAGCAAGTACGGGGATCGAAAATTACGATTTATTACGGGGCTCGTTACGGGCATCGTACGGTCAAGTACGGGAGTCGAGAATTACGAGCTATTACAGGCCTTGTAATCACAAGCTCTTACGAGGCTCGAAAATTACAAGCAATTTGAGGTTGTACAGGGTCCGTTGACAAACAGACAATTACGAGACTCGTAACGAGCTCCGTACGGGCGTGTACGGGGTCCGATGTAATTTGCCTGTGTACCTGGTCCTTTTGTTTGAAGAATCTCACAATATTATTATAGAAACAATGTGAACAATATAAGGAATAACAGTATGAATCATGACTCCATTTGACAATATTACATCATTAACAATTTTAGCTAGATTTCTAGTAATAACCAAGAAAACTAGTATTAAACTACTACTTACAAACTCTTTATTGTCAAGCTTGATAGCAGTTGGCCTCCAAAAAGAGTTAACGCCATCTATTGCTAGAAGAATCCTCACTCCTAGCTCTTCATTCTGGCATTTCAGTTCTTTAATAAGTGCTCCTATACAATCTGATGAGAACTTGGGTCGACTGATGCCCTAAAACCATATTTGGTAATTTAATGCTTAAAATAAAAAGGCATCTCTAGATTTAATAGTCAACAGTTTTTGGGAGGTGTTCAGTATTTTCTCAAACTTTTGATCTTCATGATTGGCTCAGATATTTTCAATTTACAGTATCATTTGTTAAAATACATAAAACATGTGCAAATAGAACACCTTTGGAAGCTCAAAGTGTTCCACATTGGAGGTGTTCTTGCAGAGTTTATCACCAAATCTCAGGACAAATGAGCTTCTACAAGGGCCGATCAAAAAGTTTCTTACTGTTGGCTCTAGATTCTATAATAAGAGGAGTTGGATGCTCAAACTTTTACATAAGACAGGGTAGTAAGTTTGCTTGAGACTGTCTGAGTTTCAATACATATTTTCAATGATTGAATTAGGTGGAGCAGCTTTTTTTATAAAAAAAATTGTGCTAAGCTGCAGTTTTTGAAATTTCTAGCACTAAGTAGTGTCATCTGTCAACAGACTGTAGTTTAGTAATGTTTAATTACTTTTTCTTCTCATATTCATTCTCATTCAAAATATTCAACCCCAGTTCCAATGCACTTCCTATATCTGTCCACTCGATCCAAAAACACAAGTTTAAGGCCTTCGTATGAGAGGTTTGAAACGATGTCGGTAAATTACCAGAACCACAACTCGGCAGATATTTTATATACAACGCTGCTCCACCTAACTCTGTCATTGAAAATATGAATTGACTCTGTGTCACTATCAATGAACCAATTTATATGAAACCCGTACAGTTTCAAGCAAACTAACTATCCTGTCTCATGTTAAAGTTTGAGCTTCCAACTCTTCTCATTAAAAAATTGAGAGCCAACGGTAAGAAACTTTTTGATCGGCCCTTGTAGTTCTTGGGACACTATAATGAGCATGTTATCGAGTATTTGCATTATATGTCATTGACTTTAAATGAGGTCTTAAATGTAAAGCATAATGTTTTTTATACATGATGGAAATAATATAAGTCACATTTAGTGACCATTAGTCTTTATTTGTCATTCCTGAAGCAAATCCATCATTAAGTTTGAAGAAAATCCATTCATATTCTATAATTCTTGGGACACCCTGTATATGTGTTGTTTGGGGTTTTGTATTATTTTAAATATAGTGTTTAATTTGTTATAATACTTGTAATTTTCATCATGTACTGTCAAAAGTACTACCCAAGTACTATCTCAGTGAAAAAAGTGATTATTGTACCCCATTGTGTATATTACACAAGTGAAAAGGTACTGTGAACTTACGAACTCTATTAGGTATGTGAGGGCAGATCCCTTTTCCATAACTTCACGCTTTGTCCATTCATAGGAGTATCTAGTCTTGATCTATCAAATACAATTACACAGATTTAGAATAGATTAAAGTACATGTGAGACATTGTTAATTACATGAGGAGCAGGGTCAAAATATCTGATTTCATAGAGCTGTTTATGTTTCAACCTAACTGTACATTTAAAAAAAAAGGTTACAACCCATTTTTTTATCCCCCTAATGTAATTATATAGCAAGAAATGACACATCAATGCAGCATTCATGTTAAAGCTCTTTTTTACTTTTTTTATGCAAAAATGAGACCTGTGGTCATCAGGTTGCATCACTTGTAGTGTGGGAGCAAAAGTCCAAATATGAGGTTCCGTGTCCTTTTTAGAGGCGAGCTAAGCGACATATGTTTTTATGAACTATACGTGAAACTGATCAAGAAAAATGATGTTGGCAATTCTGAATCCGCGACGGCGTTGCTATGGTAACCAAGTAAATATGCCACGCCCACTTTTAGGGGCTCTTTTCAGTGTATGGCACCTATCTCTGTCATTATTGCTCAGATTAAGATGAAATTCACACCAAATGGAAGGTAATGGATAATGCAATCAAGAAATATTAAGTGGGCAATTCTGAATCCGATATGGCGTTGCTATGGTAACAAAGTGAATATCCCATACCCACTTTTAGGGGCTCTTTTCAGTGTTTGGTCCCTATCTTCGTCAATATTGCTCAGATTTAGGTGAAATTTGTACTAAATGAAAGGTAATGGAAAGAGCAATCACACAATTTAAGAAATATGCAAATAAGGTGATTTGCATATTAATTATGACGTCATAACCATTTGTTCTTGCACATTTTATTTTAATCATGATGTATAAATCTGGGAAATTATTGTCTTTTAAATGGTCAGTAATGCTTTTAAGTAGTTAATTAGTTTATTTATTTTCATTGAGCTTATTAGTTTATTTCATTCATACATGTATGGTCATAAAAATTTGAAAGAATGTAATGAATATATCCAATTCAAGTTGTTGCTATGGTAATGGTATGTTGCAAAACTATCTGCTGTAAAAAAATATTTGGGAAATGTTACATTTTGACAAGTTGACTGACATGTATTCCTTCTAAAATTTGATGGCAGAGAATAACCTAATAACGATAGAAACTTATCTAATTTAAATTGTGTTATATTATGATGTCATAATGGCAATTATTAATCAGGGGCGCAGCCAGCTTTCAATCAGGGGGGGGGGTGTGATCTCGGCATAAGCAACTCAAAAAATGTTTAATGTGTCTTAAATCTTACAAAAATTCCTTCAAAATTGAGCTAGAAGCTTCAAGTCAAAAGTATTTTAAATCTCTTCTTCTCTGTAATGGTTCTATTTTTATTGGTTAATGGGAGGGGGACTGGGGTGACCCCATCACACCCCCTGGCTATGCCTATGTTAGCTATGGTATTGAGGTGAATATGCCGTCCCAAATTTCAGGTCTTTTTCAAAGTTTTGATTCTATCAGTTGTCATGATCATAGCTCTGGTGTATATGAAATTTTCATCAAATGGAAACTAAAGAATCAGACAATGCATTGGGAATGTAGATTGACAGACTGGCATACCTGTTATGGTATGACTATACTATATCTAGACTATACTACTCTACTATCATAGCTGTTATCGTGATTATTTTCTTGAAATAAGGTAAAATTGCTCAAGATGATTCCAAAATGGTACCTTGTCCTTTGACATTCACAATAAAAGTAGGTCAAAGCTGAAAACTATGATTGATTTTCATTCTATTTCTTTACATGTATAAAGTATGATCAATAAATATTATGGGCAATTCTGAATCTTCGATGCTGTTGCTATGGTAACCAAGTAAATATGCCATGCCCATTTTTAGGGGCTCTTTTCAGTGTTTGGCCCCCATCTCCACCATTATTGCTAAGATTTTGATGAAATTCTGACCAAATTGAAGGTAATAGAAAATGCAATCAGGAATTCCACCCATTGTTGCGCTGCTTCAACTTGTACTTTTGAACATCCGCGCTAAGAGAATATAGTCCACAACATGTGTTCCAGGCAGGTCCTCAAAATTGTCAACAGACATTTTTATTTTGTTGTAACTTTCTTCTCATATATTTTTCATATATCTCTGGTAAAAAATGAAAAAGTTACATTAAGTTTAAAACAAGTGATTGACTCGGGATGAATTTCGCGTCAAAAAATAGTGGATTGATCACCATAGATTACTACGCGATTTGGCACGAAAGAACAATTGAAATGACGTCGTGGAATTCCCAAGGATGGCGTTGCTATAGTAACAAAGTGAATATGCCCCATCCACTTTTAGGGGCTCTTTTCAATGTTTCGCCCTTATCTTCTTCATTATTGCTCAGATTTAGATGAAATTTGCACCAAATTAAAGGTAATAGATAGAGCAATCATACAGTCAGTAAACTATGCAAATAGGATGATTTGCAAATTGATTATAATGTCATAACTGTTTGTTCTTGCATATTTTATCTTAATTTTGATATATTAATCTGTGAAATTATTGTCTTAAAAATAGTCAGTAATGCTTTTAACTAGTTAATTAGTTTATTACTTTTAGTTGAGTTTATAATTTTATTTCATTCAAACTTGTATGGTCATAAAAACTGAATAAATCTAAATATGTAATCTCCAGTTTATGCTGTTGCTATGGTTACAGCACATAGCAAAACTATCTGATGTAAAAAGAATTCTTTAGGAAATTTTACATTTTGACTAGTTGACTGACACATGTATTATTTTTAAAATATGATGACAGAAAATAATCTTATAACTATAGAAAACTATTTAATTTAAATTATGTTATATTATGATACCATAATGGCAATTATTAATCAGGGGTGCAGCCAGCGTTCAGTCAGGAGAGGGGGGGGGGTTGCGATCGTGGCATAAGCAACCCAAAAATGCTTTTAAGATTTGTTTTGAATTTTACAAAAATTGATGCAACTCCCTTCAAAATTGAGCTAGAAGCTTCAAGTCAAAATGATTTTAAAGCTCTTCTTCTATTTAATGGTTCTATTTTTTGTTTATGGGGGCGCACCCATCGCACCCCTGGCAATGCCTATGTTAATCCAATATGATGTGTTACGCGGTATATGGCATACATTAATGGTTGCGCGGTATTTGTGATACGGGTGAATATGCCATACTCACCTGCGGTATATGGCATATTCCCCAGGGGAGTATGCGATATTCCGCAGTGAATATGCGATACATTGATTTCAGTGAATACCTGATACTCACCTGCGGAATATGTCATACTCACTTGCGGAATATGCCATATACCGCAGGTGAATATGACATATACTGCAGGTGAAAACGTGATACAGAAAGCCTTGATTTGATTGATTGCGAGAATCGACTCTAAATGTAAAACTACTCTGTATTACCATTATAGTTAGTGCGTCGAGTACTAATATATGAATCCTAGATTGATTGAGTAAGTTTATTACGTGAGATTGGTGACTGATACTTCTGCTAAGTTGATATATTCGATACACAGTACTGTTGATTCAGTAATCATTACAATAATTAATAACGTTTTACTATTTCGTTCAATCGATGCAATTGACAATTGCGTACTTCCGTATCACATTCTCATTGGTAAGTTTGTTTGCCATATACCGCAGGTGAATCTGTCATACACCGCAAGTGAATATGCCATATTCGTTGCGGAATATGACATATTTTTGTATCATGTTTACCGCGTAACATGATGTTCTAATGGTAACTAGGTGAATATGCCATTCCCACTGTTCAGGGCTTTTCCAAAGTTTTGCTTCTATCTTTGTCATGATTACAGCTTGAGAAATATTCACCAAATTGAAGCTAAAGATTCATACAATGCATGGATTATGTCGATTGACTGACTGGCATACCCATTGTCGCATTAATAGCTGCTAATGGTTTTGAAATCCGAAAAATATGTTCAATGTCAATTTACATTTCATGGTATTGGTCAATACTTTAGCCTATTTCATCTTTTTAGGTCATGTAGACACAACTGTATCAATTTTGAACCGAATGGTTGGATGTCGGATTTCAAAACCAAAAGCATATCTGAAATCAGGGGCTTCCATACTTCATACGAGGGCCATCCTCGCTGGTTGAGATGCCTTTCTTGAACTTGTTGAACCAGCTTCTTATCATGGGAAAGGAACAACAGGTGTCTTCATATGTTGCTGTTCATGTTCTTACAGTCTTTTCCTTGTTTTACACAGATTTTAATGCAAGGTCTCTGCTCTTTGATAAGTTCATTCACCATTTCGCTCCACTGTTTGGAAACACCTGCTCCACCCAAATTTTAGTGAATAGAGTGAGTCTGTTTTGACGGAGGATTATGACATCACACTGACAGCACAGTGAGTCCATTCCCCTGTAGAACACTATTATACCACTAACTTTTTGCTATGGCAACACATTTTAAACAAATAACTGTTATTTTCAAAAAACGTATTAAGTTTTTTTCATTGAATGCATTGTTTCATTCATTGAATTTATAAGGTGCTCCACGGAACCAAGTCTCGCTGTTGCCATGGCAACCAAAAGTTCACTTCCTTATGAGGAATTATATTTATATTGATGTAAACTCAAGATATATGTATATGGCACATATGCTGAAAGTTTCATAAAAAAATTAGAGCAAAAAGAAATGAACTTTTCAAACGCCCCTCGTACTTGTAAAGAAATGGAATCAATTATAGTTTTCAGCTTTGGCCTCATTTTATGGTGAAAGTCAAAGGACAAGGTTCCAAATTGGAACCATTTGGAGCAATTTTACCTTATTTCAAGAAAATAATCACAAAAAGCAGCTATGATACCATAACAGGTACTTAGTATGTCAGTCAGCCAATCTACATTATTCATGTATTGTCTGATTCACCTAGCATATTCACCTAATGGTTACCATAGCAACATCATATTGGATTAACAGAGGTAGTGCTTAGGGGGATGGGGGTGCGCTGGGTTCACCCACCCCCTAATAACCAATTAAAATAGAACCATTGGATAAAAGAAGACGTTTAACTTGAAGCTTTTGCTAAATTTTGAAGGAAGTTGCATCAATTTTTGTAATATTCAAAACCTATCTTATGAATACTTTTGGGTTGCCTCCGCCACGATCGCAGGCCCCCTTCTGACTGAAAGCTGGCTGCGCCCCTGATTCAAAATTGCCATTATGACATCATAATATAACACAATCCAAATTTAATAATTATGGTTGTTAGATTATTTTCTGTCACCAAATTTTAAAAAGAATACATGTCAGTCAACTGGTCAAAATGTAACATTTCCTAAAGAATTCTTGTTTATAGCAGATAGTTTTGTTACATGCTGTCACCAAAGCAACAGTGTGAATTGGACACTTTCATTATATTTATTCAATTTTTATGATCATACATGTATAAATGAAATAAACTAATAAACTCAACTAAAATAAATAAACTAAACTAGTTAAAAGCATTACTGACCATTTTAAAGACAATGATTTCCCAGCTTTATACATTATGATTAAAATAAAATATCCAAGAACAAACAGTTATGACGTCATAGCTGGAATGCAAATCACCATATTTGCATGTTTTAAACATTGTTTGATTGCTCTATCTATTACCTTTAATTTGGTGCAAATTTCATCTAAATCTGTGCAATAATGACAAAGTTAGGGGCCAAACACTGAAAATAGCTCCGAAAAGTGGGCGTGGCATATTTACTTTGTTACCATAGCAACGCCATATCGGATTCAGAAATGCCAACTCAATATTTCCTGATTGCATTATCCATTACCTTTCATTTGGTGTGAATTTTATCTACATCTGAGCAATAATGACAGACCATACACTGAAAAGAGACCTTAAAAGTGGGCGTGGCATATTTACTTGGTTACCATAGCAACGCCGTCGCGGATTCAGAATTGCCAACATCATTTTTCTTGGTAAGTATCAAGTATAGTTCATAAAAATATATGTCGCTTAGCTCGCCTCTAAAAAGGACACGGAATGACCTTTGCTCCCATACTATTGGTCCTTAATATAACACTTTCTATGGACAGACAACAAGTGGCCGATTCCATAGGTCACCATATGAGCCAAAAAATAAATAATATTTTCACTAATCAGTAGGTTTTTCATTCAGAAAAACTACACAAAAGTTTTCTTATCTCTTACTGGTGTTTTCTCTAGTATTTCTGCATTGATGGTTTTGAATTGCTTCAACCATGAAACACTCTCTCTTGGAAGGTCCCACCTATCCGCCTTATAACTGGAGTTTGTCAAGTAGCGGAACTTGTTATTCCACGATGATGCTGAAACAAAACATTTTCTTGCAGTGATAAATATGAAATTATTTGAAAAACTGTAAATGCAAAACAGCTGAAATGTGTATCCTTTATGGAAAGAGGTCAAGAGGGAAGTGGCAACCTAGCTGAGGAACAATGAACACACATGATTATGTGATGCCATAAACACCAAAAGCACGTGATTATGTGATGCCATACACTCCAAAGCACATGATTATGTGATGCCATACACTCCAAAGCACATGATTATGTGATGCCATACACTCCAAAGCACATGATTATGTGATGCCATACACTCCAAAGGACATGATTATGTGATGCCATACACTCCAAAGCACATGATTATGTGATGCCATACACTCCAAAGCACATGATTATGTGATGCCATACACTCCAAAGCACATGATTATGTGATGCCATACACTCCAAAGCACATGATTATGTGATGCCATAAACTCCAAAGCACATGATTATGTGATGCCATACACTCCAAAGCACATGATTATGTGATGCCATACACTCCAAAGCACATGATTATGTGATTCCATACACTCCAAAGCACATGATTATGTGATGCCATACACTCCAAAGCACATGATTATGTGATGCCATACACTCCAAAGCACATGATTATGTGATGCCATACACTCCAAAGCACATGATTATGTGATGCCATAAACTCCAAAGCACATGATTATGTGATGCCATACACTCCAAAGCACATGATTATGTGATGCCATACACTCCAAAGCACATGATTATGTGATGCCATACACTCCAAAGCACATGATTATATGATGCCATACACTCCAAAGCACATGATTATGTGATGCCATACACTCCCAAATAAATGATTATGTGATGCAATACACTCCAAAGCACATGATTATGTGATGCCATACACTCCAAAGCACATGATTATGTGATGCCATACACTCCGAAGCACATGATTATGTGATGCCATACACTCCAAAGCACATGATTATATGATGCCATTCACTCCCAAATAAATGATTATGTGATGCCATACACTCCAAAGCACATGATTATGTGATGCCATACACTCCAAAGCACATGATTATGTGATGCCATACACTCCAAAGCACATGATTATGTGATGCCATAAACTCCCTAATTGACAAACAAAATTCTTCACTGAAATAAAACACATCAGCATGACTTAAAATCCCAGTAGATGTTGAAAACATTAGTAACACAATATTTCAAAATTGAAAGAAAAAATCCTGATATATTCCTTCATGAACAAAGGAGAGTTATATACTCACGCCAGGGTACATAGAGCACCATCCAGCCTTGACTATGACAGTAGTGTATTATATGAGCTAGAGACATTGTCTTCCCGGTACCATGGCTACCATCTTTACATGGTTAAGGATTTCAGTTCTTTACAATTTTTTGCTGTTTATTCTGTTGATTCATAGAGGCATTGCACATAATATTTCATTAAAAATGATTAAAATTAAAGATGTTTTTATTAGAGGAAGGCATAAACATTTTTATAATGTTTTGAATTCTAAACATTTTAATGACGACAATCCTGAAGTTATATTACAAGCAATTTTCAACCCAGAAACTCATTTCACTATAACATGATCTTTGACTGCAATCTTTAGATTTCAGGTGTCATCTGAATTCATTACAAGCATATATCTAGGCCCTTTGTTTGTTTTAAAAAATTTGACTCAATTTTAGGTAGATGGTAACATTAAACAAATATTTTAACTTTGAATGGCCTGACTTCTATATCTAGTCATACTAATTTAAACTTGTAAAGGATACATAGTAAATATTTATTAGGAGGATAGGCATAGTTGGCTTGTTTGAGATAACTGATCACTTCAACCGCAGGCCTCCGCACCATCAAGGTCATCTCATTGAATGTCTCCACCTACAATTAGATCATGCACTTATTTTAGGATCTACCTGAGCTATCGTGCATTATCAAAAGAAGTAATACACATAATAACTTGTAGCTACTCAAAGGGTCTCAATCTATCTCCTAAGAGATACCAATTTTCAAGCAACTTATGGTATAAATTGAGTACATGTCCTTTAATTCAGACTTTGATACATTTAGTCCTTTTTTGACTGAGTCAGAAATTGGCTTTAATAAAATTGTAGCAAAGTAAAAACATTTTTTTGCACTTCTTGTCAAGCTGTTTAATGACTAGACAATGAATTTTTACAACATCTAGATTTTTACTGTGCAAATTAAATTTTCAAATATATGGGAACAGAGTTATTGACCGAGTCTCTTTGAAGAATACAGTAAAACTTTGCTGTTTTACAAAATACATCTACAGTTACCTGTTTTCTAAATTCTGCAGTGAAACTGTCTTCTTTGAACAGAACATTATGTGTCTCTGGTTGCATAGTGTAAAACAGTCCTTCATGCTGCATAGTATGCCTGCCCTAAGAAATAAATTAAAAAACTTGTGAGTATATATACTGTAAAAAGTGTCTTAGTGAACCCCTCTCCCTAGTGAACACATTTTCTCATAGCATACTCCACGGAACTATACAAAAAACTGAATACTGTACATGTATCGAATTAAAATCTGAATACTTTTTGCATCCACGTACTTGTTTATGTACAGCTTATGTATATAATATAATCGTATTAGAACTGTCCTGAGATCAGTCAAATGATGCACATGAACAGTATACAGGCATGTAACTTCAGTTCATAGAACCCCCTCCCCCGTCTTAAAATGGGTCTTTTGAACCTTCAAAAACAGGCCTCTTTTCTTAAAAAAATTCTTTGTTTAGATGAACCCCTCCCCTTTTAGGTGAAACCCCTGGAAAATCCTCATGGGCCTGGTATAGCAATATGCTAGTTAGTCAACGTGATTCAAAGCTATATATCATTCTGTGTTACAAGTGCGGGTATCCAGCCCATTGCCTTAGACTTACAGGATCCTCTTCTCTTGTCATGAAAAGACGTCGTAACGGCTTTCCACTGGACTGTTTTGCGACTCTGAACATTTCTGCCAAATTGGACACATCAACAGTGAGTGACTCCTTAGAACTAAACTGCCTACATCTGCAGTTACTACAAGCCATAGGGACTGCCGGAGTGTGGCGCAGTACATTCAGTACACATCGCTGTGAGAGTGGACCTACAAAAAACACTATGACTTTACAACCCACACAGTGAAAATGCAAGATCTCAGGCTCCAATAAATAATCTAATAACGTAGTATTTCATTCTAATTCAAAGAAAAGCCGTGTTAGACTTAGTCTACTTTAATTTTGTCTCATGTTTGAACAAAACTTGAAAACAAATGAAATTGAAAAATAATTCGAACTTCAAGTTCAATTGAAAGACGAAAATAGCCGGGATCAAGGTAATATCACACATAACTATTATACAAACTCGTGCTTTAAAATAATGGTTATTTAAATAAGCAAGAATACTAATATTGATCCCGAATTCAATGAGATAAAGGTTAAACCTACCTAAATATCTGGAGATGGGGGCTGACATCTTGGGTTGATCTTCAAACGAGGAGATAGAGTAAATAGATGGCAGCACTTGACTGGCTGAATTTAATGTTGCCATCTTTAGATCGTTATATAAACTATTTCTGACAAGGTCTGTTCTTTTCTAACATCAGTACACTGGTACTGGTACATAATCTGATAGAAATTACCATGGTATACCATGATTGATTTCCTGCCATCTAAAAGAACAATAATTTATGATATAATTCGAGGACAGTAATTAAGAGAACAAAGTTAAACCCTTGGGATAGTCTGTCACAAATTATAGATGTGAAATGACTCTGAGAATGTACTACAATTCTTGAAAGACCATCCATCAAGATAAAAATACCATGATCCCCACTAATGATGTACTATGTCAACACCAATACCCATGAAAGGCAAGTCATATCCCTACCCTGAGTAAATAAATGTTAAGGTTTAAATCATATTCTATTCAAATTCTATCACTGTTAAATTATATATCTGCTTTATATGGGCTTACAGTATATAGCCTTTGCAGATTATTGACATAGACAAATATATACCCCCTTCTAAGGCGCACTGCCTCAGTTTTGAATGGCAACAGGCATAATGCCTGATATGGTATATTTTTGAATTCCAAGATTTCAGACAGAACAATATAGTAAAAATTCCAAAAAGATTTAGTTATAAAAATTAAATGATTCCATCTGCAGCTGGTTTTCCTGGTGTCTATTATTTTCTTCTACTTCTTGGAATCTGACATGTGAATCTAAACCAACGTGGCAATAGCTAAATGTGCACAATATTTTCATGCTCATTTCAGGTAATTATTTTCATCATGATAATCTTTTTCCCCTTCAAAAAGCCTTCTGTGGACTACATGTGTGCCATCTTTAAAACTGAAGTATTCATTGCTTCAAATTCACATCCAGTGTATTGTTTTAGACTCAATTCCAACACAATCAACATAAAAGTGAAAATCCATTTAGCATGAATCATCTCTCCATGAATTTTATTGTTTAAAATAAATATCACTAGTAGTGCGGCTATAACATATCAGTATACAGTATATATTCAATTCACGCATATATATTTTAGGTTTTTATCCAATCAATAACAACAATTAAAGTGGCACAACTTCAAATTGTCACTGCCAGTAGTCATAGCAACGTGGGCTACATTAAATCATTCACCCAACTTGAATCAGGGACATATATGGGCATTGTCCATTTTGCTCAAAAAGCTAAAAATATAATCTTAGTGCCACTTTAAATCTGAATTATATTTTATCAAACAAAACATGTTATCACAATATTTCAAATCAATTCTTATGTTAGCACGATATTCAAATCATTGAAATACAGTAGAAAATTCATGATTTACATCAGACAGGCCTATACAATTCATTTTGATACATGCATTGCAAAAGAGGAAGAACATGTGTGTCAATTCCCAGGATTGCAATGGCCACTAGGACAACTTAATTTCACAAAGTTGATTTATCATATGAGGCGGGAGATGGTAAAATGCAATTTCATTTTTATCTTTATTCATTACAAACTTAATCGAACTGTTAATGCGTATTACTGTAAACTATAATCATCAAGTTTTGGTGGGTACACCAGTCCCGATTTTGTGCTGCTGGAAATCAATGTTTTGATTTCAAGGGAGTGGGTAGGCTGTCAAATAGAAATGAGCTAAAAATGTTAAAGGGATGATAGTATGTGCTTATTTCTGATTGAAAAATACACCGACTTTGGAAAAAACTCAGAGTGACCAATTGCATGATTCGTCAAAATTAAACCAGGGCACATGGTATGAGACTAGGCAATATTAAATATTCACTGGCCACGCTAAAAAATTCTACAGCCATTGAATCAAGAGACATATTCACCCCTTCAGGCTTTACAGAAATCATTTATGAAAGATACACAAGTATTCATTGAAAATACTAGTATATTAAATATTTCGACAATTTCTTTTCTAACATCACTTAAAATTTAGCTTTACTATTTTTCCATTAAAAAAGTCAAAATATGCTATTATGGGTTACTTTTCCATTGTATATTAATGGTAACAGACTAGTTTAACAAACATTGCAAGGATCTAAAGGAGATGTTAAACATATAAATTTGCCCTGGTCTAAAGTAGACTCAAATTATTAATTACACGTATCTATAATTCACCCTTGTAAAATAAAAGTTTGGTCACTCTGCCAATGTTCTTAAGACATTTGACGAACTCATCTTTGATTACAGGCTCAACCCACTTGCAATAGCAAAAAACAATGAACATCCACCTTTTTCTAACTGACAAATGCCACAGTGCCAAGCCGTTAGTCATAATTTATAGTCATGGTGAAAGTGTCTATGTATAACATCTAATGACATAGCTAAACATTTCCAATCCATAAGTAACAACATGGGCTTTCAAGAGAGGAAAGCCCATGGTACCAATAATGTCAAATGCAGCAATTCATATAATAATGTCCAAACACAGTTACTCATACAATAATGTACATATGCAGCTATTCGGCATATAATAATGTCCAAAAACAGCTATTCATATGATAAGTTGCAAATGCAGCTATTTATATGATAATGTCCAAAAACAGCTATTCATATGATAAGCTGCAAATGCAGCTATTTATATGATAATGTCCAAAAACAGCTATTCAAATGATAAGCTGCAAATGCAGCTATTTATATGATAATATCCAAATGCAGCTTCTTCATAATGTTCAAATGCAGCTGTCCACATACACAAATTCATATTGATTTAAATAATAGTCATGATTATTCATCGCTAACAATTATACAACTTCCAAGTAAATGTAATCATTTGAATCTCATGATCTGTGTTACATGTATTGAGTAGAGGTGTCACAAATAATCATTTGAATCCCATGATCTGTATTACATGTATTGAGTAGAGGTGTCACAAATAATCATTTGAATCCCATGATCTGTATTACATGTATTGAGTAGAGGTGTCACAAATAATCATTTGAATCTCATGATCTGTGTTACATGTATTGAGTAGAGGTGTCACAAATAATCATTTGAATCCCATGATCTGTATTACATGTATTGAGTAGAGGTGTCACAAATAATCATTTGAATCCCATGATCTGTATTACATGTATTGAGTAGAGGTGTCACAAATAATCATTTGAATCCCATGATCTGTATTACATGTATTGAGTAGAGGTGTCACAAATAATCATTTGAATCCCATGATCTGTATTACATGTATTGAGTAGAGGTGTCACAAATAATCATTTGAATCCCATGATCTGTATTACATGTATTGAGTAGAGGTGTCACAAATAATCATTTGAATCTCATGATCTGTATTACATGTATTGAGTAGAGGTGTCACAAATAATCATTTGAATCCCATGATCTGTATTACATGTATTGAGTAGAGGTGTCACAAATAATCATTTGAATCTCATGATCTGTGTTACATGTATTGAGTTATGCAGTTTTGCTCTGCTAAGACACAATGAAATAATTGCAGCTTCAAATCTCTCTATTCCCCAATAATATTTTTTTTGCAGAATTTACATTTTCCAACCAATGTTTTGATTCAGAATGGTGAGGTGGCGGGTTAAAAGAGTGTGATGTTCATACCAAAGTCTTATATGATACATTTGTAGATGATTATATACACTTACTCTTTTTGATGGTACATCACTTTTAAATGCAGTGCCTATTTTTTATTTGTGTATCTATTGATGTGTATACAAATCATATTGACCCCCAATTTGATCTTGACTCCTCCTTGGTGCAATATAAGCACCAACCCAGCATCATATTTTTATATCAGGACCAGTTTATTCATGAAGCGTCTATGGGAAAATAACAAGACAACTAGCTATAGTATGTTATTCAAAGATCAGTCCATGTCTGAATTCCTTATGACACACTATTGACTCCTCGTCTCTGTACTCCTCCTCTCCACTCCTCCTCTCCAGTCCTCCATCATGATGACTCCTCTCCTTCACTCTCTTCCTCATCCTCTTCTTCCTCAATGTTTCGCTTGATACTCTGAAATATATTCAATTTATATTTACATTACCTACAGGGTGGGCCGAAAAGTTTATATTTTTATTTGGCTGTAGCTTTTTAAAATTGCATATATTTTTAATTAAAAAAAGCTGATAGAGAAGCAGGAATTACTTTTACAAATTATTCCTAAAATGAGATAAATAGATCTTCAGGGATTTCTGAATAAGAAGAGTTAATAGAAACTAGGTGTCTAAATGGAATTATACAGTTCTAAGGATAATATCTGAAGCAACAATTTTATACTGATATTAGTCTAAAACAAAAGTGCGAGAATGACATGTTATACAGTCTGTCAGAAAGACACATAGGGCATAAAATTACTTCAAGACAAAATGGAATATTAGAAGTAGGATATTTCTCTGAAGCATGATAGTCTATTGTATTATGAGAAACAACATAAAATTTGAAGAATTCACTTATTTTCGCTAACCTTATGTGTGTTGGTATTTACACTGTTGTTCATTGCATTGCCACTTGTGCCCTGAAAAATAAAAAATAAACTTTAAGTTGAGGCAAAAACATACTGGCTATGTATATTAAATAAACCGATGGGGATGGGACGTTAGACATTTTTTCCTTTTGCATTGACTGCAATTTGGGATATTGGTAATTTGTTTTTCTTAATGAACTGGTTAGGCTCTTATATAACATTTTGCAAAGGCCTACTGTGTTTTGCAATATCACTCTACTTTACCTTGCATTTGGTGTTCATGAGCAACCAATTTGGCTGATTAGTAATGATGATGTTATTCGTTTTTATTTGTCTGTTCCTTATTAATGGTTTATCAGATGACTGTTAGATGCTAATAAGGTACTTTCAAAAATATATTAAAAATATAATTAGACAAACAGAGTATCTTATGCATTTCTAGGGGTTAGGTAGAATAGAGTGAATATGTTACAATCCTTCTCCTTTTGACACTGATCTTTACTGACAAATAGAACTTGAAATGGAATCGTTGAATTTTTTGTCAATCAAGGCTGAATAAAAGTGAGATCTTACTTGTGAATATTGTCGTTCCTGTAGAATCGCATCACAGCATTCGTACATATAAAAATACTGAAAATATAGAAACAACTTTTTTTAGTCACCCTGGTAGACTTTATAAATAGGTAGTGTAAAGATGCACGAGGATGTCAGTTAAGGCAAAATCAATTTTTATGATAGTTTAGATTGTTAAAGCGTACATGTACTTTGATTGCTTGATCATTTCTTCATGATAAATATTAATTCAGGTGTATTAGGCTATGTGTGGTGTATTGGTATCATTAACAGCTTTACTGCTTTATTCAAACAAGGCATTGGCATGTCACCACCTGCCATTTGTTACAGACACGAACCACCAAATAATGACTGCCAAACACTGACTGCCTAACATCAACAGAGGAACACTGTCCACGAAAAAAGTTGGTGATCATAACAATATGTTACTAATTGTAGTGTGACACAAAAACTAAACATAAACTTACAAATGGTGAGAATATCTTGACCCATCTTGGTCGTTTTCCTTCTTTGATATATTCAAAGTTAAAGGACATCCCTTCATCATCAGCCTCATAAACATTCAACTCTTCCCATTGGAACTCTATTACTTGGGACTGCAAGTAAATCAAAAAACCAACATTATTTGAGATAGTAACTACAAAATGTAAACAGGAGTGTCTAGCTGAATATAACTTAATCAAAGATACAATGTTCACGTTGGCCAGTTTAAGACATGGGTATTAAATATACCCATGACATCACAATAGAATACATGAGAGCATATATCAAAGGATAGTTACTGTGAAGTGCTTTAATTTGATTTTGGGATTAGATGCATCAAAAATATTACTGTTTGATATTTATGATCCATATTTATTGTTGATGAGATATTTCGCAACAATGGTCACCAACCTCCACAGTACCATCCTCTTTGCAGGCCTGGAGCTTGTACGAGTCATAACCAAATATGGTTATCACATGACCTTCTTTCCGCGAATCACATGCACAATGGGGGAATATTATTTCACCATAGCCATCACATTGCCTTACAGTTTTCATATACTGAAAGTATAAGTGAAAACACATTGAACTCAAACAACAGGATAGCACACAGCTTGAAATACAGGGTGTTCAAAACATTGGCTACAATGTGTGACCACTCCACTCCTTTGTAGAAACACGTATGCCAAAAACATTTTTGCTATTATATTTTTAATGACAAAATAATTCCAAACTGGAAAAACAGCAACTCCACGGAGTAGCAAATCCCACCGAACAAACCATGTTTTGATAAATAGCGGCCATATAAAATTTGAGCCAAATCCATTCACTGGTATTTGAATTATCAAAGATTATGTTTTCATAAAATATGGTTGCCATATTCAGCTGTCATCTTTAGATTTCTTCTTTAGCAGAGCTCCTATGTCCCAAGGCATCAGCATATACAATTTATTCCAAATCCGTCAACTGGTACTTGAGTTATCTAAGATTACATGTTTAATGAAAAATGGCAGAGATTTCGATAAATATCAGGCACCTTGAAAATTTCTTCTCGAGCAGAGCTCCCTTATCTCTAAGGCATCAGTATACAAAATGTGAAGTAAATCCGTCCAATGGTATTTGAGTTATCAATGATTATGCTTTTTTACGAAAAATGGCGGCCATTTTGAATTTCAGAGGCCATCTTGAAAATATCTTCTTGAGTAGAACTTCTTTTTCTCTCGGCATCAGCATGTAGAATTTGAACTAAATCTATCAACTGGTATTTGAGTAATCAAAGGTTACATTCTTTTATGTAAAATGGCGGCCATTTTGAAATTTAGCTGCCATCTTGAAAATCCCTTCTCGGGCAAAGCCCCTATGTCCCTAGGCATCAGCATGTAAAATTTGAACCAAATCCATTCAATGGTATTCGAGTTATCAAACATAACGTTTTTTTATGAAAAATGCCTGCCATTTTGAAATATGGTGGCCATCTTGAAAATGTCTTCTTGAGCAAGACTCATTTGAACCCAGGCAACAGCATATCAAATTTGAACCAAATCCATCCACTAGTATTTGAGTTATCAAAGATTATATTTTTTCCAAAAAATGGCCGCCATTTTGAATTTAGGGGCCATATTGAAAATTCCTTCTCGAGCAGAGGTCCTACACCCATAATAGGCCATCAGCTTCACCCCAAAATTTAGGTTATCGGTACCAAGTTAGGGGAATAAACCTCATTGTGATTTTTGGCAAAAAGAGTAAGAAATTATATGATAGCATTGCAGGAAAGGCAGCTTTATGGGTGTTATCACCCATTTTTCAAAATGGCCGCAGGTGCACTTACTACCAAATAAAAGAAGTTATATCTAAGCATACTGAGAGACAAAAACAGTGATTTTGAGGTCTATCTCAGGGTTTTAGGGGTCAAGGATTTCATTTAAGTCAAAATCTAAGTCATCGAAGAATTGGAAATCCAAGATGGCCACCAAAATGGATGTCAAAACAAATATGTCACTATTGATATAAGTTCAAAAAGCTCAAAGAACGGTTAAAAAGTGACTTTGGAGACCATGAAAAGGTTTTAGAGGCTAGGGATTTCATTTGTCTCTAAATCTAAGTAATCAAAGAACTACTTTACATAGAAATCCAAAATGGCCGCCAAAATGGATGTCAAAATGAATACGTAACTTTTTATGTAAACTCAAAAAACGGTTGCTTTTCAAACCATGGTGAGGTTTTAGAGGTTAAGGATTCTATTCATGTGTAAATTGAAGTGATTAAAGAATACCTTTATATAGAAATCTAAAATGGCTGCCAAAATGGCTGCAAAAATGAATTTATAATAGTTATTTTAAAGATATCTGAGACTGGGTTTCAGGAGAAAATGGTTTCAATTTACTAAGCCTTTACTTAAGTTATCCTAACCTTTCCTCATATTAAAATCCAAAATGGTCACCAAACTGGCTGCCAAAATAAAAAATTACCACATTCACATGGAGCATGACTCAACCATCTAACCTTTTTCCTTTATTGCCATTTTGAAGTTCACAGGCTGCAGACCTAGTTCTCTCAACATGATGTTCCGAGAAGAACAGAAGAGATTGGAAGCCTCTAAAGCCTACATGCACTATAAAGTGTCTCACCTTCCACCCTTTACACCTTACTTTGTCAATGAGGTCTTCATACTCGGCACTCTTCAGTCCAATTGTGTCCTCTGTGTAATTGTAGACTTGGATTGAGTTTCGTTGTCCTTTCTTTACAGACCTACGGCCCTCAGGCAGATATATTATATTGGCCTCGGGATAATCCCAATATCCTGAACCTCATACAGGATAATCTCTATGTACCAATTCCCTACATTGGTAAGGTCAATAGCTTTCATCCAGTTTTCTAGTTCTCATAGATGCTGTTGTTGGGACCCATCAAAGTATTTTGTCAAAATATATTCAATTGTCTCATCATGGATAGTATGAAAAATTGCACATTAGCTTCCCTTGTTACCCTGCTCGCAGAGTCTAGTTAAACTAGAGATGAAGCTCTCTTTTCTGAAGCGGAGTCGAATGAATGCAAAGGATATTCCTTTGTATACCACTCAGTTGAAAAGATTCCTTGGATTGCACTACATACATCTCATCTTCTCCAAGAAGCTTAAAAACCATTACTAGTATGCTCCAGGGAATGACTAGGTCATAACATTAATGATGTCCATAAAGGCTCGGCAAGAAGGATGTCTTGTATCATTATTCCCTTTGAGACCTCCATATTAAGACTCTGCTGCTTTCATAAACCAGTTCATTATTTTGATGAAGAGAGTACAGTTGAGATGGTACATCACATCAGGGCCATCTTTGATATCCAAATGAATATGTTCAAAAATTAATTACTCATTTTGGCAGCCATTTTGGTTGCCATCCTGAATATCCAAATAAAAGAATTATTTGATGACTTTAAGTTCTCAACCATTGAAACCTAGCCATTGACTTAAAATTCTCGACCATTGAAACTTAGACATGGTCTCTAAAATCACTTTGTAATTGTTCATTCAGCTTATATTAATGGTAACTTATTCATTTTGGCAGCCATCTTGGATTTCCACATCAAGTTATTCTTTGAAAACTAAGACAATAAAATCATTGATCCCCAAACCCTTCCATGATCTACAAAACTACATTTTAGCTATTCTTACATTAAAAGTTACATGTTCGTTTCGGCACCCAGATTGGCGGCCATTTTGGTTTTGTATGAAAAGTAATTATTTGATTACTTAGACTAAAATGAAGCATAAGTGAAATCATTAACCTCTAAACCCTTTCATGATCTATAAAATTACTTTTTATCTGTTCTTTGAGCATGTATCAATACATGTACATGTAGTTACATATTCCTTTTGGCACCTATTTTGGCGGCCATCTTGGATTTACATATAAGGTAATCCTTTGATGACATAGATTTAGACATGAATAAAATCCTTAGACTTGAAAACCTCTTCTAAAACTCTTCAAAATCATTTTGAAACGTTTTAGCTCGTATCATTAGTTACATATTTATTTTTGAACCAAAATTGGTGGCCATCTTGGATTTTCATATGAATTTATGTTTTGATGACTTGGATTTTGGCATAAATCGAATCAGTGACCCCTAAAACCCAGAATTAGACCCTAAAATTACTGATTTTGCCTCTCAGTATGCTTAGATATAACTTCTTTCATTTGGTAGCAAGCGCACCGGCGGCCATTTTGAAAAATGGGTGATAACACCCATTAAGCTGCCACTTCTGCATTGCTATCACATATTTCCTTATTCTAGGGGTGTACACCTTCCCAAAAATCACCATGGCCATTATTCCCCTGATTTGGTACCGACCAACCCCCCAGGCTGATCGCCTATAAGGCATAAGCTTATAAAATTTGAATGAAATCCGTCAACCAGTATTTGAGTTATTGCCCGGACACACGAATGGACGGACAGACGGACGAACAGACGGACGGCTTTTCTATATCCCCCTCGAACTTCGTTTGGTGGGATAATCATGAATTTGACTGTTCGAAAGTATAGTTGCCATTCTGAATCATTTTGAGTTGAAATATAATACTAACAAGGAATTTCATTGAATTATAATATTACATTTAATCAAGGCCAGGGGATATGGCATAATATATTTAGAAGATGTCTAGATTACAAAATACAAAACTTGTACCAAAATATATGTTAGAAAATTCCTGCATAGAAAATATTTTAGTACATGTGAACTGTTTGTACATACTTCTAGTTTTCTTCCAGCCTCTTGCAAAGCTTTGAGGTCATATAGTTTTTCACCCGGTTTGATTTGTCCTCGATTAACATCATCTATCGCCTACAACAAAAATATGACATCAACAACTGATAAGCACTGTGAAAAATCAGCTGTGTTTAACGGTGTATATGGAAATGTAATATACAGTAAAACCTGTCTTAGTGAACACCTCTTCAAGACACATTTTACATTAACTCCTGTATTAAATCCCCTTTCTGTAATAAACACCTACCTACAGTGAACACGTTTTTTTGTGGCTCCACAGTTTACTATATACAGGTTTTACAGTATATTAAAAACAACTATAATACTATACAATGAAGTGCAATGTACCAGTATAGCAAAATATTATGATATTGGTGTCTTATATGATGGCCTGTGGTTTTCACTTTATGTTGTTTTAACTGCTATAATTTATAGTCATGAATTAAAGAGTAAATTGGCAAAAATCTGATTGACAAGAAATAAGAGAAATTGATAATTTCATGTAATATGCATGTACATGTACAACATATTATTATGAATACTTCAATTACATTTCGTACCTGCCAATATAAAAAGTCAAGTGCTGTTTCATTTTTCAATATTTTTGTTTCTCGTTGAGGGGAAAATACCCATTTTCTTAATGTTAAGCATGTAGGGGTAGCTGTACTGTAGTTTTGTATGTACAAGTTGTGCGGAGTCTCATTGTCTTGAAGCTTCCGCTCTGAAACAATATTTAATATATAGATAATAATATTTCTAATTGAATATGTGACATTACAATATATAGAACAATGGATTTACTGGTCTGTTTCTTTATCTTTTAAAAATATTAAACAAAGACATATTATCATTTGAACTCCAGCAATAACAACAAAGCAAAATGACACCACCTGCTATTTGTTACCAAGACACCAAACTCCAAATGCTGACTGCTGCATGCCAAACACCCTCCACAAAAAGTTGGAAACTCTAACAATATGTCACTGCTCGTGTTGGTGACATAACAAAACTATAATTCACAAGTAGACAGAGATCTCTTACCAAAACTGTACTGCTCCATTTCAAACAAGGCAAAGTATTTGGCAACATCTGTCGACAACCCCAGCTTATCAACAACTGCCTAAAACAACATTATGAAAACATTTACTCAATTTTCTGAAAAATCATTTAATGAGAATAAGCATAAATAGTTTTTTTTGTTATTACTTGTCACTGTCAACATTCTATTTAGGGGCCACACCAAATATCATCTGGAACATTTTGACCTATTCCCAATTCACTAAAGAGTTTTGCATCAAATCACAAAAACAATTTAAGTTAGAATTACTGATATAAGAATAAATGTTCCAGGGATGTCAGTCATACTGAGTGGGAACAATAAAATTTGATAACTTGATATTGATTGACGGCTTTTTCTTTTTTCATTTCTTTTTCCATATCGATCACAATTCTCAGTGAAATAAATATGGTACGATACATTAGACCTTTATTAGTAACTCAACAAATACAATTAAACAGCCATTTTATAGTTATCCTTTAAAAACAAGTTTTATGAATTCTAATAATCCATTTAAAATTGTTTTCCTACATGTTGCTACTTTTATTTTATTGTAAAATATTTATTGATATTCAAGATGTTGTTTGAGGTTAGAACATATAAGAAGTCTCATTTTCTAAGATGTAGATTACTGGAAACCTGCTAATATTCAATGTTATTATATTTCACTATTTTGTGACATTTTTGGAAATATTTAGTGTTTTCAATTATCAATCAAACAAAAATAGCCAAGCCACTGGGATTTTAAAGTATTTCCTTGGAATTTTGTGATATTTTCTACTTGCGAAAAGTGCAAAAATTAGAAGTGGGAAAAAAGCACTGTTCACTGTTTATTTACAGTTTTACAGTATATCATTCAATATGTTTAAGCATAGTACAATGAACTCTTATAGAATCTGAAATTCTAAATTAATCTGTACTTACATCGTAAACTTGCAATGTTGAGCTACTGCGCTTCATTTTTAATGTGACTAAGTTTCTATCAGGAAGTAATACTTTCAATTCAACTTCATTCCCACTGCTCTGAGTCTGGAATAAACAAACAAGGCATTAACATGCAAAATATCACCACCAAACACCAATGACCAAACACTGAATGCCAAACACCAACCCCCAAACACCGTCCACAGAAAAGTTGGAGACTATAATAACAATATGTCACAACTTGTGTACATTGCCAATAATATCTGAAGTCACAAGGGCAATTGAAGAATGGTATCAGTCATGACAATTTTTGCATTTTGCATTTAAATAGGTAAACATTGCTAGTAATTATGTTTTGATCACAATGTCGTTTTTCAGACAAGAAATATGCTCAAGAGACAAATAAACTTGAAGCGCCTTCAGAGTACCTGGTCGACATCTGGGGCAGCAAGGAACTCCTGCACAATCTCACTCTCTGCGATCACTCGAACTGAACATACTGAAAATACATATTAAAGAGATTAAGGCAAAATAAACCTCCCTGTTTTCTGATACACCTGAGTTTGTCCATACGGGTACTTTATAAAAGGAGGGATATCAATAATAGGTATTTTACAAAGGAAATGTTTTCCAAAATATCTCCTCTTAGATATTACCATCCTCCGATCACAGGGCTTCAAAATCCAGAACATATTCTTTCTTTTTACCCCCTGTGATAAGCAGTTACCATTTCCCCAATAAAGAACTCGCAATCTGATTGGCTGTCGCAACACTGCGACAGAAATCATGTATAAGTCATTGCACATAATTAGATCATGTGATTCAGTTAAATCGGGCACGTCCAAATTGGTTATAGCAGGGGGAAGGCGGTACGGATTCTGGAACCTGGTTAGGAGGATGAGATTTTAGATGGGAGTCGATGCATGATCTTTTAAAATGGCAGTCCCGTAAATTAGGGCCAAAATTTCCATTCTAGAATCCATAAGTTGGACTAGAATTTCTGATTACATGGACCCTTTGTCATAAAAAAGCCTCGTTTGTTGGATCAGGTATCAATATGTGATTAGTTTGCGATCAATAACTTGTTGATAAGAAGCTTACATATGAGACCAGGTTGACGTGTCAGTCTTACTCGTAAATTAGATACAACTGAGTGACAGAATTCAAAGTTAAATTTTTGAAAGACTAAAAGATGGATTGTGAGGTTAGGTATTTTTATGAAAGAAGATATACCGAAGATACGTTATAATATGTTACAGAGCGACTGTATGCCATTTGTGTACAATGGACAGCAACTCTATGTTCACTTATCACTTCGGTGACAGGCCATTTTGGGTACCCCCACATACTTCAGACACCTCTCAGTCAGTAACACAATATGGTGCATATGTAATATGTATTTCATTTTACTGCCATTTCATCATGATAAAAAATGTCATTTATACCATAAAAAGTGCATATATTTTGATTAACATCATTAGGAAAAGCAGTTACGCCATTTTTCATGCTTAACGCAGAATGGTTGTGTATATTGATACAGCTGACACCGATTATTTCTAATAAATATAAATTACAAGTTTGATTGATGTTCTCATAATGTTTTAGATCACTTGAAATACAAAAGGACAGTTTAACCACTCTTCCATATCTTGATCATAAGATTGAATTCTTTATAATCAATATATATTTGTATCTATCTCCAGATGTTGCTTTGTAAAAGAACTTTTTAATAATTCCGTAGATCTTAAATTAGTTGAATGAACGCTCTTTGTAAATAAAGGGAATGAAATTAAGATGTTAAAGTAAACATTCTTTCAGGAAGTTTGTTTGAAACAAACAGAAACTTTGTATTCAAACAGAAACACCAAATACAACGATCTTGAATTCTGGCTAGCTGACTAGTAATTGGCAGAAAGGTAAGTGTTAGATTTTGGATTTCATTTTTTCTTCAATATTTTAAGTTATAAAAGCTGGTTCATCAATTAATTATTTTTCAAGTATTTTCAAATGTTGCCCTTTGAGAAGTTTCAGAACAAGGAGTTTACCTTTCAGCTAAGATGACTGCTACCTTATGTAGGTCTAACTGGTAAGATCATGGGATTATAATGACCAGTGCCATGGCGACACAGATTAGCTTGACAATTAATTGTTTGTGGATATTATTTTTTCATCAGTACTTTAGTATTAGTTTTAAGAGCTGGTTCATCATTTAATTGTTCATCGAGTATTTTCAAATGTTGCCCTTTGGGAAGTTTGGGAACAAGGGGTTTTTCTGTTCAGCTAAGATAACTGCTACCTTACGTAGGTCTAAATGGTTAAGTCATTTTTGTTATAATAACTAGTACCATGGCAACAAAGATGTAGTAATCAAACAGCACTCTCCTGCAAAATCCACACATTCTGGTCTTGAGATTTTGGAATTTTTTTGTAAACGAATGCTCTTTCTTGGAAGTTCACCAACCTATTTTATTCTTGTTAGTATTTCGGCTAGCGGAATGTGTTCCACATCATCTGTGTTTTTTAGGATTCTTAAATAAGTCTAAACCAGTTTATGAAGAAACTTGAGGTAAGCTGACCTCAGCCATGGATAAATATGGTAGGTTGTGATTCGACTTAATAGATCATAAACAGATAGGTTTATTAAATTATTATAGCAAATTGTGATTAAGATGCAGTTTTATAACCTACCTGAATGTGATTTTTACTCCGAGAGTGCAATTTTTTACCCGGACCGTGCATATTTTGCAAGATGGTGCTGTTTGATTACTACCTGTGACAATTAATGGCTTATGATTGTATGAATATAAGTGGTTTTGCCCGTACTGTTTGGATGTTCATCAATATTGCTATTATACTTTTACAAATGATATATATGTTATTAAAAATTATGTAACTATACGACATGACTGTGCAATAATTCGAAAATCAATAAAAATCTGCTCTCATATATAACAAGTGTATGTGGGAAAGATTGTGCATTGTAATAATAAAAGTTTTGCCCAATGAAGCCAATATTAAGAAGGTTTGTTTATAACTGGCAGTGAGTAAAATGTTATGTGGAATTCAACATTCAGCATGCCTATCTACTTCAGGATTACGTTCAACACAGTTAAGTGAGTGGTTTTATAAAAATGTATCAAGGAGTGTTTTCTAATGCCTGGGTCACATTTGCTCCGATCCATCGGCCGGCGGCCGGCCGATTGAGTGTTTTGTTCAATATTGTATTCAACTTTGACCAAAATACTCAATCGCCCGGGCGTCGTAGTGAAAATCGGAGCAAATGTGACCCAGGCATTAGGCAAGAGAAAATAATGGATCACAATGGAAACTCATTTCCCAGCACAATTTAGAATGGTTTCATCAAAATATGATTGAATAATTAAACGTGAATTGTGAATTAAATGCCATGCCAATAATTGAAAAATTGTGACATAAATTGCTCTCATATTTCTTGCTTGGCAAACTAAAACTTCCAAAACGGAATAGTTAACTGCAGTGGATATATGCCATTTTGGAAAGAACATATCTCTGATCTTTAAAGAATAAACTCTTCAGAATTAGACATTAAACGTTCTTAATTTCCAATTCTAAATTATAGGAGATTTGGGTCATATAGCATCATGTGGTTCCTGACAATCCTGTTTATGTATGCAGTGGTTTTACACAAATTCAGCAATGCCTACACAAGCCAAACTGTCACAAAAGTCTATAATGGAGAGACAGAAGTGATGATTGAATATCAAGAGGGATCTCCTGGTTCAAAGATCATTTTAGCAGCCCCGCACGGAGGATCATTCAAGGGTGATTTCCCAGGTACATGCCATGTAAATAATAAAACAATATACTAGAGTCCATTTCACTGTTTAACTGCGTCAGTAAAAGCTAATAAAAAATAAGAAATCAAAATGTCATTTTGCAATAATATATGGAAAAATATATTCCTATTGTACATGAATGACATTTGTATATCTTGAATTGCTTCTAGTTTGGCTTATAAAGTGTGTGGCCTCTTATATTTGGATGCTTCTCTGCCATGTTATTTTCAATAAGATTAACATGGCTGAAATTCTTCAAATTAGAAGACGGCACAGGCTTATTGCACAAAAACTAAAAAAATCTGAAATATACAAATGTCATTCATGTACATTATGAATATACCTTTCCATATATTATTGCACAATGGTCTCTCAATTTCTTATTTTTGCCGTTCTACTGACACAATGAAGCAGTGAAATGGACTCTAGGTTCCGAACTTTTAGATCAACCCTCGTATAATAACATAAAGATAATAAAGATACGTGTGTGATATATATGTATTGCATATAGATAGACTAGTACAGGCTCTTACATTTTCAGAACGTGACTTCGGCTGCATGAGCAATGGACAGTGCATCTGGAGCCACAGTTGTGGTGCAAAAGACCCAAATTGTGATACCTCTACATATACTGACAGATACACAATGGAAATAACAACAGGTAAATAAATGACAGTGACATCTATTGTTGTCAAGCAATAATGATATAAAGGTGATGGAATTTATTAATCTACAATTAATCAGCTAAAATGTTTTCCCTATTATTTGTTACTAGGACTCGCAGATGAGCTAGAGACGCTTTATTCTGGTGTTCGGCCACATGTTATTCTGAGTCACATTCATAGATCGAAACTCGACCCAAATCGAGAAGAAGACGAAGCTACTTTTGGCAATGCGGAAATCACTTCGGTAATTTTTTATTATCAATACTCTCAGTATTTAAGACCCCCTTCTGTCTAGTATATGAAACATTGGGGCATTTCGTGATGACAATTACTGGTTACTTTGAAATCATTCATTAAATGTAGCATTTCTTATTTGACAAGTTTCAAACCATGTCTAAAGGTGCCATGTCAAGAAACTAAAATTGGTCTTTTTACGAGACAGGTGAAGGAAAAAGCATGATATTATGTAAACTTCTAAGAGTCACAGGCGAGCATTGTCATATCTACTGGAACTTGGTCACCAGAAAAGTGATTGTAATGTTTTGGCTATTCAATACCTATTATAAGACACGGGGGTAAAGCAGACCCGATGATGCAATGAGCTTGCTCGGCGGTATCATGACTGTGTAACGGGTCTTAATGTATAAGTGTGCTCGGCGGTAGGTTCAAACAACGCGGATCCTCAAAGCATGTGCTCATGGTATATTCGTGTTTTAACACCCGTGATAAGAGAGGAATAACCCAGAGTTCAAAGATGAACCAATATTGTGGGTAATTCCCATTCTTACCTTTTCTGTATAAAAAATAGACAGACAAGTGCTGCCATCTTTCTGTCAACCTATTACCTTTGTGGTAAAATTCACAGAATTTATTAATCTATGTTAGATAAAGTGGAACTTGCAAATCAAAATGGTAGGCAAGGATAATTAAATACATCCTGTATTCAAAATTCTCTGTTTAATTATCATTATTATCATTATTTAGTATAAGCTTTTAGTTTTTGAGAAGTAACATTTATTTGGCATTGTTATTAATTCTGACCAGTGCTTCTGTCATGACTGAATATTCTCTCAATGTATTCCAGTATTACAATGCATTCCATTCATTTATTGATACTGCAAGTACGAGTGTTGGTACTGGGTGCTTCTTCGACATCCACGGTCATACACACCCAGAGGCAATGGTAGAACTGGGTTACAAGGTGATCAAGTCACGCCTGAATGATAAGAATGCAATCCTTGGTTACACAAGTATTAAGACCCTTGGGAATGATATCAATGCAAATGGAAGGGATTGGACAGGCCTTCTTAATGGAACAATTGGTCTGGGTAGGTAGTCCTATCACTGATATTAGACATAAATGTCGGTGGTGGAATTACCCCATAAACCTTGCAAAATAGTGGTTATTTATTTCAAACGCTGATTCTACTTCAAAGTTAGCCAAATCTATAGATTTTCCTTGCTAATAATAGGGTATGCTGGCATTAATAGGAATCTTTTAATAGATCAGGATTCACAGAAATATTTCTCTGTATAATAATTTACTCAAACCAAGCAATATTTGAAATCTGCAATTGTTTCAATCTCCGGGAGCTGAACCTATTTGACAAGATACAGTGATCTCCCCAACATTAAAGCAAGTGGGCGCAGCACCCACCTGAGATTTTAAAAACAGGCTTGCACCCACCTGAAAATCCATTTGCACCCACTCGAAAATGAGAAAAATCATGAAAAGTGGTCATATTTTGACCAATTTCAGTGTGAATTGTGAAAATGAGAATTTTGCACCCACTTGAGAAAAAATCCTTGGGAGATCACTGATATATATTGTCCTTTCACCTCAAAATTGACTTGAACTCTCAACCAATTTGTTTTATATTACTGTACTGTTTTCAGGATATTTCCTAACAGAGCAGTTGAAGTTGTCGACTGAAGCCACAGTTCAAGGAACTACAGTAGTGCCATCTGTTGATGTTCCTTCACCGGGCACGGCACTTTACTTCTCTGGTGGCTATGACGTTAAGATACATGGCTCCCGATATGGAGGCGACGTAGATGGTATACAAATAGAGTCTCCATCCCCTGTAAGGAATGCCATCCAGGGGCCGGAGTATATCAAACGTCTCGCAAAAGCCATAAAGCAGTTTATGGATGAAAACTACTAAAGAAAAAGACTCCATTTAGACAACGGGATTCATACTCGAATTTCGTGAAATTTACTGTAAGGACCTCAGTGATTCTAATCAATACACTGGGTCATCTCAACATTCAATTACATCTTTATTAAACCATGACTTTGTCAGTACAATTGAGTTATTTATGGCTGGACCATTAGAGTATAAGATAAGCAATATAATAAAGGTAGAAACAGAGAAAATGGGCGACAAAATGTCTAGGGTCACATTTAAAATCAACAACAAACTAATGTTTTCAATAGTGAATACAAGTTTCATAATACCAGAAAAAAACCTCCAGTTCTTAATCACACCTAAGAAAACGCATTCTATCAAATCACTCATCATTTTGAACATTCCATTTCAAATCTGTCAACTGGTATATGGGTTATAGAAAATTACATTTTTCATGACGAAATGGCCAGTGTTGTATTGATTGTTTAAAATAATATACCAATAACCTCACTTCAAAAGGCAATATTTTACTTTGTTGCCCGCTGAAATGAGGTTATTAGACGTATTATTACCACCTTATGCCCAGGGCTGAAATAGCAAGAACGGACAGCCACTAAATAAAAATTAATTAGAAAATTAACTAGAAAATGGCAACTCCAAGGAGTAGCAAATCCCAACAAACACTATGACTATGACATGAATCTGTATTTGTCACAAAAAATATTAACATTGGAAACATAAGAGATATGTCAGAATTTCTACCAATTTCAAAAGCATTTGGATGACCATTTAAAGGCATACATAATAAAGACAATTTGAATTTTCTGAGGCACAAATCAGGAAAACAATACCAAAATAGTGATCTGCCCTAAATTTCCTTCAATTTGAGAATAATATAGCCATACTTTGAAGAGACTAGAAACTTATCCACATAAGACAGTGGCCATTTTGAATTATACAAAACCATTCATTCATTGGGATAAATATACACTGAAAGGCATCTCATTTCCAAGGGAACACTATCGGGCTAAAATATCTATTTTGGCCCGCCAAAGAGTGTAGAAGAGTACTAATAAAAAATATATAGATATCCAAAGTACATTGAAAAGCCAACACATAAATGTGGACTTCCAGATAGGTCTTCAAATATGCAGTACCAGTCGAGTACCAGATTTATATGTCAGGTTCCGATACAGTATTCAAAAGACAATTTTTCAGAGTACATCTTGGCAAGCTAACCATGATTAATTTGTATTCAACTGACTACCTAATACTGTAATTCCTTGCTAACATGATTATAAATGACTTTGGAGACTGGGGCTATGTTGCTGATGAAATAATTAAGACAATCCCATGATATTTGAAGCTATTTTGCTAACTGCTGATATAACATGCAGACAATTAACCCATTAGGATGAACAAATATTTTCTTCATGGATATCATTTAGCAATTTTTGCCCTGTGATCTGAAGATATGGTATCATCCAATAGATGATTGATCTGAGGGGAAATAGCAGTTTGTGCAAAACATATCTTCAATGTTTTATTTCTGTTGCATCTCATTTTACAGCTTTTTTGTATTCAATATCATCTCATATGATCATCTTAGCCTCTCATCTTTACAGGGAAACTTTTGCCTTAACCTCTCACTCTTACATTAGTACTCCAAAGCCCTTCTATGGGAGAAAAACAGATGAGTTGACATATTTGAATTGATAATATGGCCGTAACTTAGATCAATGAATGGTTTCTTCCCTGTAATTTTCAATCTTTTTAAGATCATGTATGCCAATAGGGTGATTGTGGCATTCATGTATTCCATCTTAGTTGTGACACAAGCTTCTACTGGCTGATGGGTATTGAGTTTGTAACTACGTAAGTACGTACCTTTCTCTAAATACTGTTCTAAACCCCTCCTCCTTGTATCTAACTGCTGATCAGATAGCTGGAATGGCCATTTCCCAGGCATCTTTGGAAAATTAAAGTCAACAAATTCCCGTTTGAGATCTGCATTTAGCGTTGCGAACTCTTTATAGCGCCTCGAACACAAATGTCGACCCGCCATATATATGTTGTAGACCTGAAAGCAGAAATAAATTAGAGATGAACTCGACATTTACTTTGAGGTTATATAAGGTTATATGCATGCATTTCAGCCAGAATATATTCCATATAAATCATGAGAATTTAGGGCCGGATATGTTGCCTTTTTTCGGTCTTGCATCGTGACTCTGGAAACCCCTCAGCCCCTATCCACCTCATGTATATGTGAGTAATGTGTGTAGGGGGTCACTGGGGCCTCTTTTAGATAATCAGAACTTTCTACCTAATGAAAAGATGGTCAAGGAGAACACATGCAAATACTCTCACAAGGAAAAGCCTGATCATCATTGAAGATCACAGCCTTCTAACAGTTCCTTTCTATAACTGAACTTTGTAAAGTTAACCAATTGTTATAAACATGGATATAATAATGTCATAGTAAGAGAACAATAGACTTTAAAATTCAAAATTCTAACTTTATGAATGTTTCTGCTAATAACCACAAGAATAATAGCTGGTACACAACAAACAGGTTAAGCAATTATGATCATTCTGATACTCATAGCATCTTCCTGTTTCACCTGAAACATCTCAAGGCTGAGATGAAATGAGATGTCATGGTTTATCATAATAAATGATGATCATGATTTGTAAAACTCGTTTGACTTTCACTTTCACCATTTTGCCAAATATGGCAATACTCCATATACAGAGTAACAACATGCAAGATGACATTAGTCCCCGATTCATCATACTTTTGTGAAATGGGACCCTGTGGATTCTGTAACTGTATGTATTTGCATTCGATCTACATGCTAACTAGTGAAATTCCAATGCTCTGACAAGTGACTGGGTATCACTCACCCGAGATGATTGGCTAAAATCAATCATGGAAGCGAATTGATTGAATTTTGATAAAACATGATTCATTTGTTTAATGTTGAAACCATCTGCGAGTATTCTTAGAATTCTGTCAGAGATGCACTATTGTTTACTTCGATAGCAGTTACATCAACGAAAGTTCACAAGATTAATGTCTCGGTCTGTATTAATGTCTTAAAAACTCATTATATTGCTTTGTAAGGCTCTTTTATCGTAGCCTGAGCAACGGAAGTAAGGTAAAGCCCTAAAAGTCACATCAGTTAGCTTAGTTTGAATTTCAGTGAAATTAATACAAGAAAAGCAGATTTGAGATTGTCTTAAATGCAAACATCATGATTTCTTCAGATGACCTTTAGTCACATAAGCGTAGCCAGGGGGGGTGTGATAGGTGCGATCCAACCCCCCCCCCCCCCATAATCAATAAAAATAAAACCATGAGATAGATGAAAAATGAGCTTTTTCAAAATGATATCTATTTGAAGCTTCTAGCTCAATTTTGAAGGAAGTTGCATCAATTTTTGTAAAATTCAAAATAAATCTTATTTTTTGGCTTATATATGCAACAATCGCACTCCCCATGACTGAAAATCGAATTTTTTGGGCGATCGCACCCCTCCTGACTGAAAGCTGGCTACGCCCCTGAGTCATATTGATGCCTAGAACAGTAAATCAGCCAAATGTCTTATTTGTAGAATTTACATTAAAACATATACTATATAAAAGAGCAAAAACATATCTGAAAAAGGCACTTATGCAACATGTAACAACCTGCAATTTGTTACAGATGCCGACCACCAAGCACCAACTGCCGAACACTGTCCACATCCACCAAAAAGTTGGACACTATAACACTTGTAATGATGACATATCAACAATATGTAGATATAAATAAAACTACAAAGAAAAAGCCCAGCTCAAGACTCTCCAATCTTCTTTTCATCACTGCCAGTCAGTGCTCACATCTTGGAATACCAAAGTATGAAGTTCTCATACCTCGTGTGATTGAAAATCAAACTGTTCAATGAGTAAGGAGTGCTTATAGTGATTATCACTTGGAGATGCTACCTTGACAACTGCTAAATTATATAACTGTACATGTAAACTGTTGTATGAAAAAAGTCAAAAAGGGAGAAAGAAAACCTTTCAATTTACAAGAAGTTGAATTGATTTTTAGGTGTTAATATCATCAAGTGTCATAAAAGATGAAATATTGAACCTATAAATTATAGTGTGCATTACTTTGGACATCCAATGTGTAGAAGTTATAATTATACAATAAATTCACTGGAAAAGTCAGTTCAATTTCTCATTTCTGACTTGGTTGGAAAAATTGGTTTCTCTTCATTTCACAATATGTATTCTCAATAGTAACAGAAACCTCTGTCTTTTATAACTGATATTCCATTTATATCAATTCGGGTTGTAGAAGGATAATGTTACAATAACGCAGTTAGTAGAAAACTAATCTATCTCTAATATGCTCCTTTACCAATCGAGAAAATTAGGTAGTTAATCGGAAAATGCAGGGTACGATATAAATACATATTCCATGTTACTTAGTCTCTGGTATATCTTGTATTAATATGATTGCGTTCTCGTGGATGGAGATGTACAGATAAATCTGATTATTTGAGTTTCTCCCAAGATACTTGGTGAATAGATATATTGAGACATATCTTCAGTGAATAAGTGGTTAATCTTACACTTGTGTATTCTACTAAGAGTAATGAGAAATTTGAGACAGTGATAAGCGTATAATATAATGACAGATACACAATAAAATGATGTGAAAAATATAATATGCTAGTCATGTGAAAAAACAATGGAAAACATGACAATTGACCGTTTGCGATCAGAATTCAGGTATTTTCTTTATGAGTATGTTTGTCACATATTTGGTCTTATGGGTGTGACGTCATATATAAATGATATTAGACATGATGGAGAGACGAAATGGCAGACACATGGCAGTTTTGAGATGAAAATTTTATTGTTTCTTTTATGAAAACCATGGGTCAAATATTCACCAGGTATGCTGATTTGACTAGATCATGAGTATATCTTTATACTGTATGTTCGAAGTTTCGGTGAAATTCATTCTATACATCGATGCCTTTAAGCGCCCCCGTTTTTTCAAAATTTGGCATGTGTTTATAATGAATGTTGATCTCGTCAAACCAAACACTTTTGTGAAAAATAAATCAATAATGCATGAAATACAGAAGATAATCTCTCAAAATCAAACAGCTATAACAGAGTGGCCTAATTGTGACATCACTACAAGATAGAATCCATCCGTTGATCGCAAATCATCAATTAAATAAACTGTCTGCCTCAGACTTTATTAGAGAGTGAAAACCTATTATTCATTCATAACTTTTTAAAATGTTGTAATACTTAAAATGTACTCTCTGTACAATTATATAACGATAATTAACATGTAAAATTCCTCGTCTTATTTTGACATGAATCTTAAATATAAATCTGTTGACAAGAGAATCAATAAGAACAATAAACCTAGTTCTTGCCCATAATTGAGAAATATATCATTGCGAAGCAGCTAATGAGCCTTTTAATTTTCATCTTTAATAAGTGTGAGTGTCTAGATGAGAGTCCTCACACCTTTTCTACATTGCAATGATATATTTGCTTGTGCAGTAAGAAGTTGCCTCGATGACGTCTCATGATGCAGAATAGATACAAGGCATTAACATGCAAAATGTCACAACCTGCCATTTGTTACGAATGCATGAGTTACAGACACTAACCACCAATCAAAATGTCACAACCTGCCATTTGTTACGAATGCATGAGTTACAGACACTAACCACCAATCAAAATGTCACAACCTGCCATTTGTTACGAATGCATGAGTTACAGACACTAACCACCAATCAAAATGTCACAACCTGCCATTTGTTACGAATGCATGAGTTACAGACACTAACCACCAAACAAAATGTCACAACCTGCCATTTGTTACGAATGCATGAGTTACAGACACTAACCACCAGACAAAATGTCATAACCTGCCATTTGTTACGAATACATGAGTTACAGACACCAACTACCAAAGATCAATCACTAAATGACACACACCACCCACAAAAAAGGTTAGAGACTAACAATATGTCTCCGCTTGTGGTGATGACAAGCGGTGACATAATTAGGTGGTGGTGGTTGACAGAGGTGTGGTCTCAAATAGTATGTTTTACTTAGAGGCTGGAAAGTAAATGCTTGTTTAGTTCATGAAGGTGTTTAAGAGACTCATTTCAAAGAATACTTCCAAAAGGTCTGTTTAATTAACAAGATGGTTGGAAGACCTAGAGCTAACAAGCGAAATCTGTAGAATTCAGTGCAAAAGTTTTTATCCTAATTAATTAATTAAACCTGGTTCAGTGATTCCTATGTAACATACAAGATGATGAATTAGTTCTAATGTACTTTTGTGAGACTCAGGATAACAGATAGAGAGAAATGATTCTAAAATGAGCATAGTTGAATCTCTTGGAAGCTCAAAACATTGGGTTTGGATATATGAATAAAATCCAGACCCATTCATTTTAATCAATGTAACAAACTTGACATGGAGTGACAAATATCGAACTCTCTGCAGAGAGAGGCAATGATAAGGTTTGGGAATAAGGTGTTTAACCTCTTGGCTCTAAAACAGGGTTCGCACACCTTTTTCAAAATGAATTTCCCTGACAATTCCCTGACATTTCCAGACAAAAAAGGAAATTTCCAGATCTAATTTTCCTCACACGGCCTCTTAAAAGTCTCAAACAACTGTTATTCAAGACAAAAAGACTTATTATGAAACATTTTGGGTTTCTCCTTCAGTACCATTTCTCATTACTTAACTTTACTTATACAGGCCATCTGATTCACCAATTTATTCCCGATACATTATATTTTTAATATTACATATTTTACATTGCATAAGGCCAAAGGTAAGCCAAAGGTAAACATACATGTATAGGGGCGAAGCCAGCAAGTGTCAAGAAGGTGTAATTTTTTGGGTTTGCATCACTACAAGCAAAAGTAACCCGAAGGGGGCGGGGGTACGGAGGTTCACCCCCGGAAATTTTTCAAAAATGACATTGTATATGGTGCATTCTAAGCATTTGAAACTATAATTTGTTAATATTTTGTAATGAATCCCAAAACTTTAAAATTTTGATCTAAATCCCTTAAGAAAAATAGCAACTCACATGAGGGGCAATTCCCACCAAACGAAACATATTTTTAATGCTACTATCATTGTGAACATTATATGGTAGCAATAACCTGGCATTACAATTGTCTTCTCTCTTTTGGGAGAAGTCTACACAAAAATATGATACCATATTAGAAATTTCTTCTCAAGTAGCGTCACTATAAGGCACAGGGCTACGATACCAAATCAAATAATCGGTTTTTGTGTTATCAAGAATCAATTTATTCTTTAAATTATCAAAAATTTCATAAAAAATGGTGGCATCTTTGAATTCAGAGACCATCTTGAATATTTCATCTTGAGCAGGTCCTTTGTCCCTAAGGCTACATCATACAAAATTTGAGCCAAAGTAAAATGCTTGGTTCATCTTTAAACGAAGAAATATTTGGACCAAATTCAAAAACTTATGCCTGGCACAACTGTCACCATGTTATCAAGTGTTTTTATGCCACGGTCATGACAGGCCTTCCAATATAATATAGCATTGTCACAGTCATACCAGGCTATCACGATAACAATACCACAGTCATGGCAGGATCCTTGCGAAACTTAAAAACACTTAATAATATGGCGACTCTTGCGCCAGGCATAAGTCTTGCAATACATAGCATCTGATGGAAAAGCATAATTGTATTAAATCATCTATACATTATTTTTATTTTTCAGTTTCAGTATAATGTTCACACTGTTCTTACAAATAGACAATACCAGCTCTAATGTCATTCAATCAACCTTAATGAAAAGATTTGCAATTTGTGGAAACAACGGCGCCGAAACAACTACATGTAAATGATTTTGGATTTCACTGATATCCTGTCATAGCCCTAAAATGTATTTTGCTGGAACATTATTTAACAATGATACAAAATTCCCTGACATTTCCCTGACACATCAGTTTCAAAATTCCCTGACATTTTTGGCCCATTTTGACCCAATTTTAAAATTCCCTGACATTTCCAGCACCTGGAAAAATAAATCAATTTCCCTGACATTTCCAGGTGTGTACGAACCCTGTAAAATCAGGTGAAACCAGAGACTTTTTCATTTTTGTCACCATTTGACATTTTACTACATACCTGTACAACTTTAGATGCTCAACCTAGTAAAATAAGATGACAGAGATCATCTCTACACATTTTGAAACAATTTTTGTGTAAATTGGATGAAAAGTAGAGCAATTTTAGTGAAAAGTTTTGTGACAGATTTTTTTAGTCACTCCAGGTTTCAAGGTAATTTCTGAGGTGACAAGAAATTTCATCACTCAAGCTAGGGAAGCGGTTAAAGGTAAAAATGGCCAGCTTGTAATTTAATCAGCATTCTCAACATAACATGTAATCAGCTCTATTTTCATTTGCATCTTAGGGGATCAATCCTGTTGTTTCAGTACTCAAGCCACATAGATATCAGCCAGTCACTGAACAGATTTTTATTTTAGTGATTTCATGTATCCAAATAGATATATACCCCCAACTCCAGTTGCCATGGTAACTATAATATTAACCAATCATGTGGCAGAAGTTATATATTTATATAATTTAATTTAGAAATGGACAAGGTATATTCTGACCAAATTTCAGGATGTTTGGACCAATATTTACAAAATGCCAGATACTTTTACCTTATTTATTGATCACCCTGTAAACACATTGGGGCTGTTATGAAGCTGTCACACTCGGTGGGCTCACTGTTTGCCACCTTGTGAATATTTTTGGACAGATAGCGATGTATGACATGGACATGAGGTGGGCAAAACAAACACTTTTACAGCAGATATCGGCCCCCTCACACCAAATACAAAAGTTAATTAAAAAATTAATGCCTAAAATTATTCAAACTGTTGTGAACAGTGAGCCCACGTGGCTCAATGTGACAGCTACTATGATAGTCCTTCAAAGTTACAAAATACAGGAACATTCACATCATAAGATCTATATAAATAATTGTCTCTTAAAAATTACATTTCCATTTCGCAGCCATAAATATTTTGAAAATCAATTTGCTTCCTACAGCCAGAGTTGAAATTTATCTGGCAATAAAGAGTCTTCTTAAGAAAGCTAATATTTCTCTTTGATGGCATTGCAATGTCATCATGACACCATTTTGATGTCAGCAGTGTTTGGAACCAAAACAACATCGATTATTGAAGATAAATGAACTTACTACATATTTCTCAGCCATTGTGTCTATGACTTGGTGATCGGGAATAGAGATGGGCAGAGATCGTCTCTCTGAGTAATCAATCATTGAAGGGCCTGATGAGTCATCGCTTGGCTCTAGACGTTCTGCTACTGTCCTTGGGACAGATATAACTGAAAAAAGTTTAAAGCATATCGTAAATTGTCTGAATTTCTAAAATTTCAAAGCTTGAAAAACTGTTCATGCGAAAATTAAATTAAATGCTTTTAGAAATTTAAATGGTGCAAATATTTTTATAATTTGGAACTTATTCAACAACTTATTATTTTTCCCACATCGAAATTGGTTGCATCTAGTTGCAAGGATTGCAAGAATAGCAATCAAAATTGTCAAGTACTTGTAATGGTTACAAAGCATTGAAACATTTTCAATGAGTTGCAACCACGGTTTCATCGCAATAGTTGGCAATCATTACAAATATGGTTGCAACAATGATTGTGCAATGTGCAATGATTGGTAATGGTTGAAATTCGGACTTTCAAAATTGAATTTTTTTATACGAGTTGTTACAAGGTTAGGACTTTTTTCAAGCTACAATTTTTTCAGAAAGGTCTCTTGATTGTTTAGTTCCATATCATCATGAATTTAAAATATTCTAGGTTAATGAGGATAATTACAGCTATTAGCCCTGTGAGATCTACATCAGATCAATAATAATTTTGACGATTAGTTGAGTAGGTGATTTCATGAGCTGACAATGTGAATCAAAAAGTACAAGGCAGAGGGGTCAACTCATGACTAAAAAAATTACTTTAACTACTAGCTACTGATGTCAATTTTTTGAAATGTTTATTTCTACCTTACGTGTGTAAGATGATATGAAGATATCATGTTTTATGTATAGGAAGATAGTATATGGGTATGTTTAATGTAAGAGGATAATATGTGCAGTAGAAGGATAATATGAGGACTATGTTATGTGCAAGAACAGAATATGAAGAAGTGTTATGTATATGAGGATGCGTTATATTTCAGAAGATAATATCACTGGTGATCTACTCGATTACGCTGGTTACCAAAACGGTTCATTTCGGTAACAAAATGTTGGAACATTGAAGGTACGATTTTTCTTTTTTCCTTATTTCACACGTTGTAGGCAGAATTCCCACGACATTTTTAACACAAACGTGTATCAGTATCATATGCTTAACCCTTTCACGACGATAGGCTCCATATGGAGCCCTATTATGTAATACCTTTCAGGACGATAGGCTCCTTTTGGCACCATTATTTTTATCTATATACATCAATGAAATGACAATATCTCCAGTTCTATTCAGTATTTTTACACCAAATTTTGACAAGTTGTTCTAATGTGATAATCCTTACTAAAAATTGTATTTCAGTGATAAAATTCAGGGTATAGGTCCCGGGACGTAGGTATTTTGCAGTTTTCCCCTAAAAACTGCTCTTACTTATCCGTCACCAGGGCCAACATTTTCCTCTTATATTCACGTCGGGAAAGGGTTAAGAATATGTACATATTTACGAACAAATAGTTCAGAAGACAACAGAATTGTCGATTTAATTCCTCACTTAAATTACATAAACAGTTTTTGGAAAACAGTTAGGATCTGCACTTTTAACCCAAACTGTTTATGTAACTTAAGTGAGGAATTAAATCGACGATTCTGTTGTCTTGTGAGCAATTTTTTTTCGCAAACATGTACATTTTCTAAAACATATGATGCTGATACACGTTTGTGAGAAAAAACGTCTTGGGAATTCTACCTACAACACGGGAAATAAGGAAAAAGAAAAATCGTACCTTTGACATTCCGACATTTTGTTACCGAAACGAACCGTTTCAGTAAACCAGCGTAATCGAGCAGATCACCAGTGAATATGTAGATATGCAATAGAAAGATAAAATGAGCATCTGTAATATGTAGGAGGTAATAAGTAGGAGTATACTGTAATAACATCTCTTCCAAGGTGACTTCATTTGCTTAATGGAACTGGATCTTTATCATCCCCTAAACTTAGATAAAATTATATGTTGTGAAGATTTCTCTGTACATACGCCGATTATAATCTGAAGTCTACTTATTGTAAATCCTTGGGGATCAATAAAACTATTTCTTATAGAGATCTATATCTACATAGTACAGTGCAATTTTAAGACCCAGGCAAAAGTGCCTATGAATACTAATTCCATAGATATATACTCATAAGGCTTAAATTCAATCTACTTTTAAGTAATTTTTCCTAGAATATTACATGCTACTGTAACATTTTTGCATGGCAAGTATCCTAGAGCTTGACATTTCTGTTCCACAAGATCTAGCACTATGTGAAATGAAGCAATGATTTTTTAGAAAAAGAAAAGACGCAATTTATCCTAAAATGTTGAGGTAAAACAAGAAAGGAATTTCTATGTTTGAGTAACAAATTCACTATTTTTTTACTGCTAAAAATGAAACAGGAATACTGAAAAATTAAAAGATGGTCTAAAATAACAGTTTTTGGAAACATTTTAACTCCTTCAGGTAGCATTGTGCTCCTTTTGGGCTACCCCTCCCAGAGTCAACAGTTAGACGATTTCCTATTAATTGGGCAAAAAAACTGTTTTCGAGGTTCCTTACTTCTCAAAATAGTATTTAAAAGACATATGGTATATACTATTTTGCCTGATACTACAATATGAAAATTGAAATTATATAGCACAGGAATATATTTTTTAAATATTTTAGTGTCCTACCCCATGAAAATATTTAAAGGTGGACATGGTGAAATTCATGATTTTGCAGAAATAGGTTTAGAAAAATGTATCAATAGAAAGCAAATTAATATATTCAAATCATCAGGTAACACAGAAATAGCATGCTAAGGTATGGTAACACAGAAATAGCATGGTAAGGTATGGTAACACAGAAATAGCATGGTTATGTATGGTAAGACAGAAATAGCATGGTAAGGGATGGTAACACAGAAATAGCATGGTAAGGTATGGTAACACAGAAATAGCATGGTAAGGTAATACAGAAATAGCATGGTAAGGTATGGTAACCCAGAAATAGCATGGTAAGGTATGGTAACAGAGAAATAGCATGGTAGGTATGGTAACACAGAAATAGCATGATAAGGTATGGCAACACAGAAATAACATGGTAAGGTATGGTAACACAGAAATAGCAAGGTATGGTAATACAGAAATAGCATGGTAAGGTATGGTAACACAGAAATAGCATGGTAAGGTATGGTAATACAGAAATAGCATGGTAAGGTATGGTAACACAGAAATAGCATGATAAGGTATGGTAACACAGAAATAGCATGGTAACACCAGGATAAAGAAATACATTCTCAGGGGTTTCACTAGAAATTCTAACTAAATAAATGAAAACAACAAGTAAAATTAATGGAAATCATAAATTTAACATGGAAAAGTTGCAAAGTCCCTAAAAACAACAGGCAATTTTGTGAAAACAACCGGTGATAATTGCCTGTTGCCTGCTGCTAATGAAACCAGGTGCATTATGGTTATAATAATATCATGCTTATCTTCATTCACACCTCAATTTTGAGGCAAATTTGTGATCATAACTTTTTGAGCTTCCAGATAAAACTAATATCGCAGACAAATATGCAATGACAAGATACGTAATCTACAAGGCTAACTTCAGCCTTGATTTTCTCGACAATATTTCCCTAGAGATGAGAATGCTTAGTTTGAGAAAATCATCTGAATAATACTTAGCAGGCTTCTTTTCGTTTTAATCTATATAATAATTGGAGACTTCGATAGTTTGATTTTGCTTAGCTGGTTGCCTGGTTTCGCAATCACAAAATTAATTTCCTTTTCTTAGAGCTACAACTGATTTTGAATCAATTTCCTCCTTTGATTATTTTACTTCTTAAGATTTAGCAAAATACTGTGAATCATATCAATTTTATTTAGAAATGTTAACTTGCCTAAAGACAATATATGTTGTGTTTTTCTGAATATAAAAAACATATTCATTTTTATCCCACGATTAATGTGTTATCTGTACAATAACAGCTATTGATATTTCTGATATTATTGAAATCCGTGTGATATTTTCCAGAAAATCGTTTATCAAACTCATATGCGTGTGATATCGTTTATCTCACGCATATACGTGTGATATCACATTTGCATTTCGCGCCACTATATTGTTGGAAATTAGGTCAGATATTTTATTCTCTTTTGAGAAAATAGGTCCGTTTATTTATTCCTGAGCTTTAAGTTTCATTGGTGTATTGAATTACTATTGTGTATATAATTTGATTAGAAGGCTGCTAACTAACGATTAAAAAATGGTATTTATGACGAACTATATAGTATATATCATGTTACTTACTTTTAATTGTTAAAACCAGAACAACGGCAACGCCAAAGCGTAGCGAATCCCATCGAACAGCCATGGAGGTCATTTTTACAAACAAAGTATATAGCAAAAATGGCAGCCATTTTACAAAATGGTTGCCTTCTACCAAAAGTGTCATTAGACCATGTGCCATGCTTATAGTATTCACATACCAAAAATGAACAAAATCCCTCCACTACTTTTCAAGTTATAGTAAAATACGGTAAAATGGCGGCCATTTTTCAAAATGGCCACCTTCTACTAAAAGTGCCATTAGACAGTGTGCCGTGCTTATAGTATTTACATACCAAATATAAACAAAATCGCTCCACTACTTTTCGAGTTATAGTAAAATACGTTAAAATGGTGGCCATTTTGAAAAATGACCGCCTTCTACCAAAAGTGTCATTAGACAGTGTGCCATGCTTACAGTATTCACATACCAAATATGAACAAAATCACTTCACTACTTTTCGAGTTATAGTAAAAATACGTTAAAATGGCGGCCATTTTTCAAAATGGCCACCTTCTGCCAAAAGTGTCATAGGACAGTGTGTCATGCTTATAGTATTCACATACCAAATATGAACAAAATCGCTCCACTACTTTTCGAGTTATAGTAAAAAACGTTAAAATGGCGGCCATTTTGAAAAATGGCCGCCTTCTACCAAAAGTGTCATAGGACAGTGTGTCAGGCTTATAGTATTCACATACCAAATATGAACAAAATCGCTCCACTACTTTTCGAGTTATAGTAAAATACGTTAAAATGGTGGCCATTT